CATTCTGCGGTTCTGGCTCCTTCAAATTGTTTTGAGGCCCTTGAAACGGATCTGAAGAGCCGAACCACACTGAAGGAAAGAGGCGGGCCATCATTGCATTTGGTGCCCAACAGCCGCAACCCCAAGACGGGTCGCCTTCAATGCCGGGCCTCAAAGAATAACCAATACCGAGTCGCAACGGGTCTGATTGATTGATGTTTCCCGACAAGGCGACATTCCTGCTGGGCGGCACCCATCTCTACACTAATCTAATTCTCAGACCGCCCATCTGACCTCCCCAATCCCCACCGCCGCTTGTACTTGGACACTACGAAGCACACTGCGAAGTAGGTGGTGCGGCTCAAACACCCCTCCTCCTTTCTTCCCTTTCCCTGCCGGCCGCTCCCTTCCCTCCCCAAGTGTTGGAACATTTCCCCTTCCCTTTCCCCAACCCCAAGATCGCCAAATCCGCTTTTACACTTTCAAGTGACACGACGCAAGCGGGCCCCACTCCCTTATTTACGGCTTGGACTGCGCATCATGGCATTGGTGGGTTGTCTTCCCTCATCTGAAAAGTCGATCCATTCTTCAGCACGGTCGCGTAATTTCAACGGCAAGGCGAACCCCCCAAGGTCGAGTCCGCCTTCTTTCTGCATCGCGTCACCGAGATAGCTGAAGGAAGAACTTACTGGCCAATTCGAAGACCACGTAAACCTCCCCCTCCCCTCCAAGGGAAAAAAAAAAATATGAAATCTTTTCACTTGCTGCCTGTCAGATAATGTCCCCCCTGACTACCGAGGTATAACGGAAATCTAATTTTCGGTGATGGGCGGGAATGACGCGCTGTATCTTAAGCCCACGTCCAACGGCCTGGCAACACACAATTGTGTAATACCCTTGCGCGGTTCAGACGTCACCAAGTGTGATATGAAGCATTTGATCCTGATCTAGGTGGAAGGGGGAGGGGGCCAAAAAAAGTAGAGATTTTGCACCGCCAGCGACCAAGTAATTCATTACGTAGTCCTTTGCATGAGGACTGTACACTGCAATCGCAAGCCCAAAAGACATTGCTAACATAACTTACAGCTCACAACGTCGAAATGCGACCGATACCCTTACTCGTTCCCTGGGCGTAGAGAAGCACCATGCAAGCTTTGGCATGAACTGCAGAGAACCTGTTCTTCTCCCTCTTCCACTAGAAGAATGGGGAGGGAAAGAAAGGTGAGATGGCCTGGCGAAGTACCCATGTAAGGGCTTGGCAGAGCCAACACCGGGTCTTGAGCAATTTTGACATCTACGGTTGGGTGTGTGGTGCATGGCTGCTGAAGCCACCAAAAATGGAGGATCCTATGAATGACGCTGAAGAGCAGCAGAAGCGCCTGGGTCAGAAAACAGGATGTTATTGAGGTACACACTCCGTAGCAGAGATGACAGTTCTCTCCACCCACATCCTTGGCCTGGTGTGTGAAGAAAAGGGGAAAAAACAAAAAGATTGACTTGCAGAATAAAACGCCATGGGACACGCCTCCACACTAGGAACCCCAGGGAACGAGGACCTGCCCCAGCAAGCCGCGGACAAAAGAAGTACGGAGTACACTACTCGCGCACCTCACAGGAACGGGTATGTCTAGTGTACGAAGTATGGGTATGATTGTCTCATCCAGTTCCCGCACCATTGACCTCATCACCCGCCCCTCCCTCCCACCTCCTTGTTGCTGTCGGTCTTCGATCAACGGCCCTATTTAAGATTCGGCCTGATCCTACTCGTAAAGTAGCTTACTCGAAGGATCATGAAGCAATGCGACATCCTGGTGCCCACGTTTACCGGGGGCTGTTCTAGCTGTGGAAATATGCGTATACTTGAGTATACCTGTACACTATACATTTTGAGGCATCTCCAGGGCCCAGGATTCGCTGCTTGCAAATAATGGTGTACTTGGTGGTATTGTCAATCGCAACGATTGATTGATGCTACTCTGCAACTAGACCTGGAAGTCCCGAAAAAAAAAGGGTTTTCAGGGCGATCACCTGCCCATTGCATTACCGGGATGACCCTGGATGACCGAGTTGGGGATGTTCCCAACCTTCAATGTCATAGAGGTTGCATCGCAGGTGAAAGTGAAGAGGGTCTTTTCTGCCTGGAGTAGAGTACACACATACATTCCAAAGTCGATGAGAAGACCAGAAGCAGGATGTCTCCAAAAAGAGAAGCCGGAGCGAGTGTCGGACAACGAAGACCAGCCGTTCCTTTGATTTTCTCATTCCACACTTGCCAGGCGGAAGAAGGCGGCCGACCCCGAGACCACGGAAAAGAGACCACTTCTATTATTCTCTCTCGCCATTTCGTACTACTGCCGGATCAATCCCGCTTCTTGTCTAGAAGGCGTCAAGTCAGTTGATCATAGTCTGCATGCAAAACAGAAAGCAGTCAACCGCACTTGGAATCTTACACTCAACTCGACGAAAACTGATGTGTTTTGCCAAGAACCATGTTGGCGCTAAAACGAACGCTTGGCCGGGGCCAGACCCATCATAGTTTACATGTAGTACTTCGTAACTTTACACTACACCACTTTCCGTTCTGGCCAGCCCAAGGTTCGGTCCAACGTTTTTTGAGACTCGTCAGCTCGCGAGTCATGTTGGTCCACCTCGACACTTCCCGACGGGCCCTGGGATCGTGAGGTCTTTCTTTTTGAGTTAGCAGTCAATATTGAACTCGTCATTATTTTCGCGTTCTTCGTTTAATACTCGCCTCTTCCATTGCGGGATGCAAAGTACTCGACCATTGACCCCGGGTGTTATCAGGGTCTTGTCACAAAGAGATCAATCAATCAATCAATCACAATATCCATCCGTCAGTCAATCCTAAGTTTACTACACTACTTCAGACAATTGCTCAGCCCTATGGGCTCTTTACTTGGTGTGGGTCGCTATCTCCCGAGTGGATGGATCGTGGGATTTGATTGATTGATCCCTCACCATGGTAGCGGACCTCGGTGTATGTAACAGTACTTGGCAGACCAATTCATCCAAAGTATGATTTAAGGTATATGCACAAAATGGGTGTGATCCATAACGGTAGCGTCTGTGTCTAGTGGCACTTTGATCGTCAACCTCAACGCTGGACTGCTGGACGGGAAAGAAATAATACGACATTACGAAGTCAACCTTCAGAAAGAAACCGGTTGGGAGCAATAACAATCACTAATAGATCCACATATGCTCGATGCCACCCTCCCCCAAACCGGCCAGTAAATCTTCAGCTGGCCAGGGTCATCCAACAATGCTGCGTTTGATGATCTCCCTTTCACATTCCGTTTCCCGTTCCTCCCATATAATGAACCTTCGACACGTCAGCCGGCCAGTCTGAATGCCCATGCCACCAAGATCGGATTATTGTAGTAAGTAATATCATCAGTCCCAAAATCAGGATGCCGTGCACCCGACTAGGCAAGGAACAGGGGACAGGGGGCAGGCTGCATGGCTCAGGTAGGGTGGCCAAGCGGCAGATGGCCAGCCTCAGGAGTGAGGGCTGAATACCACTTTCCTCTTTCTTCGGCAATCAGGTTGGCTTGAAGGGAAAGGGAAGCATCTCGATATCTACGAAGTACGTATACCTCGTAATGGAAGAAGGAGGAAGGCATGAGTGCACGGGGTGAGTATCTCTCATCCGAAAGACACCGAGCTAATCGTGCCCGAGGATGTCTTGTATGCACCCACCGTTGACCAGGGACCGTCCTCCGTTGCTGTCGTAGGAGCACCGACGGGTGTGCCCGGTCTGGAGATGTTCGGCCCGCAGCCTGTAAGATGTCGTTGGTGAACGCCTCTTCAAACGACATACCCACCTCCAACTCTCACCAAGTGCGCTATCCTTTCTAATAAAAGCTACAGCCATGACCGGAGATGCACTCTTATTCCGGCCAGGCGGTTAGTGTTCTTAGCTAAGGAGCACGGCGATATGTCGTCGCCACCATTTGCAAGACCTAGGCCAGCACCTGTTGGCAATGCTGGTCGTCGATCCCCTTTTCCAACTAAGCTACGCATACTTCGTACATTACACTAACTTAGCTCACTAGCGCCATTACTAAAAATGACCCTGGGGCACTAGCCAGGCCAGAGGATGAAGTTATCCTTGATCGAGCAAGTTCCCGGAGCGGAGGCACCCCGGATGGGAAAGACTAGCAGGTTTAGGGGCGGCTAGAGAGCAAGTAGAGGGTGTCCGAGGAGACAAGGTTCAATGTTTGACTCGAGATTTTCCCCTGAGGTTAGGTGCATACACTGATGCTACTGGCAAATCGCCAAAAAGGAAGAGAAAGAAAAAAAAAAAAAAAAACACATAGCCACCCCTCCTACTTCTCCCTCTCCTTCCCTACTCGGAATCCCGCGCTCGGAAGTTACTCACTGCGCTAGACCACGGTCTTAGATCACGGTCCTACTTAGGCTCGTACGCCACCCCGTCTCCTGCTCCTGGCTGTGCTACCCGCCGACAGGCACTGCCAGGCTAGGCATTGGGCTTCGTATCCACGCTACTTAGCGCCGGGCAGATTTTGGGAAGCCGTCTTCTCCGCGGAGCACTCATCTCCTCGACCTGCCCTGGGTGGGATCTCTGCAGGGTGAGAGATCAACGGTCCAGTAATACGTGTTGCGGGACTCGATGAGGCAGATCGAGTGGGGCTGGGTTTTCTGCGAGAACAGGAAGAGAGTTGGGAAGCAATCTGTTGAAGGGAAGAGAGATTTCGCGTCAAAGTGAATAAGTCTAATTCAGTTGATCCAGGTGGACGTTAAGCTTATCCTGAACACCGGGCCGCTGTCATCATCGTGATCTCATTACCAATTCCTCTTCCCAATTTGAACCAACCCGCATTTGATCGTTTCTGTGTCATAATCCAAACATATCCTGTCCCTTTCTAGTGGTATATCCAAAAAAAAAAAAAAAAAAAAAAAAAAAAAAAGAAAAGAAAAGAAAAGAAGAGAAGAAAAAAACTAATGTAACAATCATTCCCTAATATCATCCGTGGTGTTCACGCCATATGCCCTCGAACCCCAACTCGTCTCCTCTTCTGCTCACTGGCGCCTGGACTCGGGCTCTCAGCCTTCGGCCGTTGCCTCTTCCTTTCGAGTTGTCGGGGTCCACGGAGTGACTCCATCACCACCTCTGATTGAGGCTCGCGCTTGTATCGAGCCGAGTACCCATTGAGGTCGCCCGTGCCTTGCGAGGCGTTCTCTATAGCTTTAGAATGCTCACTGTCACCCCGCTTCCATTCGCCGATATGCCGTCGTGGGAAACCCTTTCGTCCAATAAAGTGATCCTCGATATGTTCATATCTTTCATTCCATAATCCGGGCTCCATGTCGGCCAGAATAATCTTTTCGCAAAATCCGCACCAAAACTTTTTGCTGCTATGACGGTCCACTCTGCAGCTCTCTAGCTTATTGGCAAGCTCTTCATCATCAATTAAGCCGTGATCGTCCTCTAGGTGGCGCTTGAATATTTCGCGTCTGTGATAGGCCTTTGAGCATTGATCGCAGCTCCATATCTCGAGCTGGAAGTGTTGACTGCTCTCATGGCGTCTCCAATCACTCTTACTGCCAAACTTTTTTGTGCACTCCGGAAAGGTGCAGCCGTAAGGCTTCTCATGTCGCTTCATGTGTTTGCTTCCGGGTCATGTCAGTAACTTAGCGCGTAAGACTTTTTGAAGCTCAGGGAGAAATGCTTACTTTAGCTCACACTTTCGGGGAAACGACTTGTCACATTCAGAGCAGCCGTGCTCATGCTTCTGCGTGGCCGCCACCGATCCAGGATCATCGCGGACCTCGTCGGTATCCATGCTCGTATTTCTCAACTTGCGTTCCATGAAAGACTGAAGAATGTGTTCGGGAATCTCTTCAAGGAGTTGGAAGATTTCTTGATCGCTCTGAAGAGCTGAAGACTTGGTGGAAGGATTATGTAGGAACCCATTTTGCGCCTCGGTATTATCAAGTGTGTCGGTATCTGCTAGGCCTCGAGGAGAGTCAATTGGGAAGGCCACCGGGCTGTCAATCTCGCACCCAGGTTGCGTGGTATGATCATGAACACTGTCTTCTCTACCTTGGGGGTTGTCGCCAACAGCCCTCTTCTGGGCCAAAACAGTAAGTGGCGTGTTAGCATCGACGTAGCTCCCATCCGATCGTTTTGCGCAGAACACAGGTTGGCTCTTAATGGACGCGTGAGTTTGAACTCCAGGCATAGCATGAGCTAAAGGATTTTCGAAGCCTGTGGCAGTCTGGTAAATTTCAGTGGGCGGAGCGAAAGTGCTGGTGGCCGGCCCTGAAAGGGCGGTAGGAGATTGAGAATCGAGATCCGCAGCTTTGATTTTTTGAGATATATCGGCAACATGCCTCTGCCTCGACGTGGCGCTAGAAGCTGGCAGTTCTGGCTCCTCAAGGAGCGTCTCAAGCTCAGCTTGCAGACCGTCTTGTTCATCTCCACCTCTTCTGGCGGATGCCCTACTCTCGGCTGGGTCAAGTCCAAGGGAGCCGATAGCCCGGAGGATATCCTGAGACTGCGAAGGGAGACTAAGACAGCAAACAAGTCAACTAAGCACGCAATTGGAATAGTGTAAATTTGGGGCCGTCGTTGAACGTACGGGATTAGAAACTCATTGAGAAAGCCGTTGGTAATTTTTTTTGCTGGGATGCCATGGACATTCTTGAGGTGACTGCGGAAGTTGTCGGCCCGCGGCCAGCTCTTATGTTTCTTCTGTTGGCAGTGATCAATACTGCACCTGTACGACTTTCCCGGTACCGACGTTTGTTTATGAACAGTCCGTTGATGCCGGGCGAGATCATGCCTAGAGCCGAAATCTCTGCTGGAACACCCTGGCTCGGGACATGGAAAGGACCGCAGATGTCGCTGAATATGCTTCCTTGGGGGGATGTGTTAGTAAGACGAGGGGATCAAGTAAATGTGAAGTCAGCGAGCAACGTACTTCAGCGTAGTCTTGTTCTTGAAAGAACTGGAACAATCCGGGCAGACCCAGTCGGAGACTGAATGCTTGGGGGTGGATTGACTTTGTAGATTAGGAAAGCGAGGCACGGGAGCACTGATGAGCCCAAATTGATCGAATCCGGACTCGATGGCCTGGATCTCCGGATCTAGTATGCTCTCTCCGCAAAGTGAATCATCTCCGGGGATGGGTCGCCGCTGGCTCGCATAGCCCGAGTCGGAAGCAAGAGTTGGGGCCGGGTTCGTGCCATAGTCTGATGCGTCGTTGTTTCTGTACCTCTGGAAGGCCAGAGACTGCATGGAACCATATTGCTGGGTGTTTAGCTGGGAGACACCGTGTCCGTTCCATGGTTCATCCTCAGCTATGTAAGTCCAGATCATGGACGTTGAATCCTGGCTTTGGAGCGGGTACGACACCCGGTCGTAATCCATCTTGACTGGTTGAATGGCCGTCTTGAGCTATGAGGATCTTATGGAGAGTAGATTGGCAAGATTGGAGTGCAAGGCGTTGGCGTGGGCGTAGGCGTGGAAGAGAGCGAGGAACAACACGGCACCGATCATGTACAGAATGTATAGGGAGGAGAACGGCAGAGATATAAGAGGGGCGACTTGAAACTTATCGTCACCTCAATCCACACGAAGTTGAGTTTTGGCCGTTTTGATTCTTTGTTGGCAGGGGATAATGCCAGATTGGACGAGAGAGAGAGTGGCTGGTGGGTTTTACAAGAAAGCAAGACTGCTGGGATAGGACTCGATAAAATTCGGGACTTGGAGGCGTTCGTCGGTCGTAGGCAGTCGTTTCTGCTGTTGAAAAGGACGTGGACACAGAGCGATAACGATTGAATAAAGGGTGGAGAAATAAATAACAATACAGCACCGTTTTGGGAAAGGATAAAGCGGGTATCAGAGAACTATGGATGACAGTGATGGCAATATCTAGGTATGTTCACACCTGGCCATCTCGGAGCGATGACGAGTGCTGCGGGTTTTGAAGAAGGGGTCAAGTGGCATGGGAGAGATGAGAATACTCTCAATTTTGTGTCTCCAAGGCTCGACGACGACTCGGGCTGGACGGGATAAATGAGAAATCGGCGGGACAGAGACAGGACGACCTGTGTGGTTCGAAGTACACAGTTTGGGAACCATTTCAGTCAGGCGGACTAGGCGAACGGTTCGCCTTTTTTTCGGGAGCGCACCGCGCAAAATGCAAGATTTGATGCTCCGTTGCACGCTCCTTCTCAACCTCAACTTCCAAATTTGAGCCACTCAGAGGAAGAGAAACAGCACAAGGTCGGTGGTGGTATCAGCGGCATCAGTGGCATCTGTGGCATCAGCGGTATCAGTCAGGCCAGCCATGCGGTGTCGGGTTATCAAGTGTCAGCCAGTCTACGAAGTAATGGATACACATATGTACGAAGTACATTCTCAGAATTACCAAACAGCACCAGAATTTGATCCTTCCGTTAACCGGGACACTGGATGGGATCAGTTAGGCACTACCTCGTCTCACTCATTCTAATCAACCGATGCCAGTTATTCGGAGGACCTCACGTACTCAGCAAGAGAAATTGACTCGGTGTAAGTATTCGACGAACCTCAATGATATAAACTAGGTCCGTTAATCATTATTATTCATGTCAACCGGCGTGGAGGTTTCAAGGGCAAACCAAGTCTGTCGTGGGTTTAATCGATTGTACGAAGTATTGATCAATCAACTGGTGTCTCCTCGGTCCTAATACGCTCGGTCCAATGTACAATCTATGTAGCCGGAACCCGGAAGCTTCCCCCCCGCCAAATTTCCCAGTACGAAGTGTGCAATAGTGCAATGGTAATTTGAACATCCACACCCACAATTGCACTCGATCTTCAATAAGTTCAAAAGTACGAAGTAGCAAAAGCGATCTTCTGCTGGCCTGGTCAGGGCTGAGTGCTAAGTGCCTGCGCAAAAAGTCCATCATTGATCCATCAGTTCAGTCCACAAAAGTGAAATTACCTCATGAGAGAGCTGCAAGATGCAATCACGTCCCGCATTTCCAGAGCTGGGGACAGTTCAGCACAGCTTTTCAGGGAACCTGAAGTTTGGGAATTTCGAATCACCATCTCACCATCTTCTCTCTCTCTCAGTCCAGACCCCCGGCGATGAAAAAAGAAGAAGGCTCAGCCACACTGCCTATCTTGAGCACAAAGGTCCGCGACCCATTGAATGCGACGTCTAATGCCATTGGGCCTCTATGTCTCTGCAGGTTGCCTCGAGTTCGTAACTTGGCTTCTTGTTCCTGGAGTGGCCCGCATCTGCGAAGTAGAATGCAAAGCACCAGCTACATTGTTACTCAACCTTTCCTCTCCTAACGTCGGTTTACGTATCCGTCCCGCCACTCCTAGATCGGCCTAGTCTTTCAACTTTCCTCCAAGTGCCTATCCGCACGGGGGACCGACGAATACGGGCCGCTTTCTCGCCCCAGAGCAATATTGATCAAGCTAAAGTGGCCGTAACTCGGCAGCGTCAAGGAGGAACGCCTCGATTATAACATAATTTACGGCGAGCCTCCTCCCTGGACTACTCTAGTCTGCTGATGGGGGATCAAACAAGCCGAGCTTGCGCTGTGCCACCCCATCCACGTCTATGTTTGACGTGTTTGGTGTGATTCTCTACGAAAGCCCTATCCAATCCAAAGCGGCACAGCCATTGCCAGTAGAGAACTCCATTCTAGGCGATGCTAAGGGACAACGCGAGAGGGGTATCCTTCCTGTCAGCTGCAAGCCCTATGACAAACCTTTAAGAGTGCCCCGGGAAATGCACTTGAGCATTCCCGATACGTCTGCTGCCTAGTTCGTAATCGCTGATCAAGCTTGGCCTAGCTCTCAGGAACTCGGCTCGGTAACCCTAGCCTTACATTCCCTCATATTCTTCCTCCAAGTTGCGACCCAATGTAGATGTGTGGGGAGGGGGCTTGAATTCTTGGGTGCGCTAGTGTTTTCCAACGCAAGATATTGGTGCGCCCCAATGTGACGAAGAACGTTCCGTCCGGACCGAGAAAACAATGAAAGAGCAATGAGGTGAGAAGTTTAAGTACTATTCGCATTGATCTCGATCAAAGAGACGTCTTCTCTAGCCTGTGGGTGTAATGGATCTATAAAATGGGCTGCGGAGTAACACACCCAGTGTGGTCTCGACTCTCGAGGAACCAGCTTCGCGTCCTCTTCTGGTACCCGCCACTGAGATAGGAACATGGGATATGTTCTCAATCTGCTCGATTTATACCTAGTTCCCAGCGGAGCACGCCGGCCGAGTAACTGGATCTTGATAGTTCTCACTATCCGGTTCAACTGAGCTCCGCCGCCGTCCTGGGCACGCCACGATCTTGCGAACGGCCGATGAGCGAGAAGAAAACTGACAGAGTGTATAATCGAGGTAGATATGTCGTGGGCCGGATTACACTGTGTGCCATTTGGCTGCATAACGTCTATCCTGATATAATGTGTGTATTGGCATATCGATCTGTTTGGGGGAACCGTATTGTGTTCGGATGCATGGTGGTTTCTGTCTTGGTGCAAGTGCTGGGAGTGATGGTTCGGAATAGGATGCTTCTTGCATACGGAGAAGCAAACTGAGCATCAGTCTCACACAGAAAGTGTGTGGGATATAAACGGAGGCAGTCTCCTGCTGAGGATGTCGCGAAAGGGCGGCCCTTCTTCCTCCATCCCGATACCAACAACACCAGGAGCTTATTCTAAACGTCGGGTTTCCATCGGATTGTCTCGTCTCATCACCCTTGGGCATTCAAGTCCCTTTCTTTATTTACGCCTGGCAAATAATCGGTGGAAATCAACTTGAAAAGATATCTGTGGTATGGCTAAACTGCATCTTCTCTACTGACTGCGACCTTACGATCCTACCATTTCACTACCTCCAGAACCTCCTTGACACTAGGTGAATTGGCTCGCTGACATCGGGGAAAGGCAAGACGTCTCACTAGTAAAGAAGATCTTCAACGGAAAGCAATCTTCAGGATGTGTGACTGGGAAGAATTCCTCTTCAGTTGCAATCACTCCATTGTGAGGTTGAAGTCATACTGTCACTTTGCTCGCAACGATCCGAACCACGAATGCCACGGCGTGAAAGTCCTTCGCAACTCCTGGCACCAGGGAGTTCCTTGTGAAGCCTGCGTCCGCTCCGCCGCCCAGAAATAAGTAAGCCTAGACGTCTTACTCTCATCAATACCCCAGTGGCCCCCTGATTCCGGGTCAGACATTTCGCAGTGTCTACTTGGGCAGTTGGTCCTTGTATCTGGCGGGTATGGTTTCAGCAACTTCGCATTTCCTTTGTTGTGTGTGTTATGACTACTAGAATCGGTCTAGTATGTGCCGGTACTATCTGAGCGGGGAGATCTCACGTTCACTTGCGTGGTCGTTGGTAAGCAACATGTCTTTTTCTAGTTCCCTAGCTAAGATCCATCTCTAATGAACTCGAGGAGGAGTAAGGAAGATGTCTCCATTGCCTTCTTGGGGGTCTGGTTTCTTGAGATGAGCCTTCGCGCAATTGTTTCCTTGGGGAGTTTGGGTTGTCCCTTTGTACTGTTGTCCATGGAGAGCGACCTGTTTCTTGCAAATTCGGTCATTAAACTAGTGCTTATCAGTGTATTTGGAAAATCTGGGTTAAGAGTTACGAACCGTGGGGAAGACGGAATGAGGGATTAGAATGTAGAGCTGTCTTGAAACTGTCTCTGTCATGAGCAGGGAAGCGCAGGGCGGTTGAGTCCTTCCGCAAATACGAATTATTCTGAGCCGTGGGCATCATGATACCCTGTGACAGAAGTATGCCCTTTAGGGTCCCGATGAGACGGACGCAAGCTCCAGTTGACAAGTTCAGCATCACATGGACTGATTAGGAAGAGGGCATGCCTCCCACCTCGAACCAATGCCAGATACTGCAGGGCTGTGATGTTGTGTAATGTAGAGCTAGCCAATCCGGTGTGGAAGGGATACCTAAACATAAGATGACCAAGGATATCGGATTGACATTATCGATCGAAGAGGGAGGGTGAATGCGAGGCACCACGTTAAAATATCGATCCCCATGGAATGTGGATGTCCTGGCTGGCTACCACCAGACATCTGGGTGGACAGCAAGGTATGATTGGAATTCACTTGAGTGGAACTTACGCCAGAAGTGGTGGGGGTAATAAGAGAAGTGCGAGCGCATCAATGGTGCTGGCGATGATCAGAAGTGCATATTCAGTGATGCCAAACCTCCCAAGGAGATCGACTACTTGGCGAAGATCGGTTGGAAATCGCATCACTGCACAGAATAGAGAGCCGACAAGGACCCGTACAGAAGGGGGGGCCGTCTACGAAGGATGTCTGCTTTATTCCTACTCGTCCGGGGAGACGTCGGGAGAAGATCACTCCGGCGTTGTGGAACATCAGAGGAAGCATTCGACCATATCCTTCAGCCGCCTGCATGTCGAAGAGGAGAGGGGAACCAGCAAAGTGGGGGACACGGCGCCGGACAGCGCAACACGAGGACACAAAGACTGCCGCACGAGAGCGCGGGTGCTCTTGCGTAAAAGTATTAGATCGATTGAGAATCACCTCCTTTAGGGAATTCGGCTCTCTTTGCCGTTCTCCTCACTGCAAGTGTGCGAGAGCTGCAGCATGCCCCGGCGGTCTTCCAACCGAATCTAGAGATTCGGCTTCTGAGAATGGATGGTAGTAATATTGAGAAAGTTTAAGCACAAAAAACTTGGAATAAAAATGCCCGGGCAAGGACGCGACCAATCGATCAAAGATGGAGACCAACAGCTCGAAGAGGACATAATCCGTCACACCGCGTGGAAAGGGACTAGTGCGAACGCGGGTTAATCCCGTGGTAGTGTCTCCTTAATTAGGAAATATAGAAAAGGGTACGAATCTCGAATTCCATTTTCGGCTTTGTCGATAACAACAGTTGGAAGTACCTCAGTACTGGATTATCGATTGTGAAGGAGACGAGATGGTGTGGTTCAGCTGTTGTTGTAAGATGCCAGATTCTGGGTGGAGGGAACAAATTGAAAGCGACATCCGAAAATTAGCCGGATCAGCCAATCACCGTCCAGCGGATTACATTGGAACTCCCAAGTTTGTCACGATAGTTCGATTTATTCTCTCGACCCGAAAAGCCAGTGTCAATCCCCCTACGAACCGCCCTCCTCGCCTCTAATAGACGTGCATTCGCCATTCGAGCAAGCGACGACCCCTACCTAAAATGGCGACGAAGCTCTCTCCGATGCTCTTCCGCTCGGCGATGCGGGCGGCCTGCCGGACCGCGCGGCCACAGATCCAGCTCCGATCCCTGACGGTGTCGGCTCGGAAACAGAGCGATGTTCTCATGGTGGTATGTCTTTTCTAGTGCCAATTGATACTTGGGATATTTAGCGAATGGCCTTGACGACGAATTGACGGGCCGGGATTCTGCAATTGGTGTCCGGGACCGACGGCGTGGCCGGTGGAATCCCTGAGTTCGGCAGGGCCATTATCACCTCATCCCGCCATCGAGACAGCTCTCTGCGCTGCCCAGACTGCTAACGCTCGCTCGGAACAGCACCGGAACACGCCCGACAACAACCCCGATATTCCCTTCAAGTTCACGCCCGAGAACGAGGCTGTAATGGCCGAGATCATCAAGCGCTACCCTCCCCAGTACAAGAAGGCCGCCATCATGCCTCTGCTGGACCTCGGTCAGCGACAGCACGGCTTCACCTCCATCAGCGTCATGAATGAGGTTGCCAGGATCCTCGAGGTTCCCCCCATGCGAGTGTACGAGGTCGCTTCTTTCTATACCATGTACAACAGGACCCCCGTGGGCAAGTTCTTTGTCCAGGCGTGTACGACTGTATGTATATTCCTCGACGTCTTGTGTTTTCAACCCTCACGCGTTGGAAATCTCCACCTTACGAAGGTAGTAATGAGAAGTGGTGTGGGGACGGACTAACGAAGCCTTTTGTGTGTTTCTAGACTCCCTGCCAACTCGGCGGCTGCGGAAGCGACGTCATCGTCAAGGCCATCAAGGAGCACCTCAACATCAAGGAGGGCGAGACCACCCCCGACGGCCTCTTCACCTTCATCGAAGTCGAGTGCCTCGGCGCCTGTGTCAACGCCCCCATGATCCAGATCAACGACGACTACTACGAGGACCTCACCCCCGAGACCGTCGTCGAGCTCCTCAGCGCCCTCCGCGAGAGCGCCAACGCCACAGGCTCCGCGGCCGCGGCGAAGAAGGTCCCCGCCGCCGGTCCCCTCAGCGGCAGGAAGACTTGCGAGAATAGCGCGGGGCAGACGAACTTGACGGCCGAGCCTTGGGGTACCGAGACGACGAGGTCGGATTTGTAGGATCCTTGCGATGGGGAGACTTGCCGGGCTTTTTTTAATTTGACACATGAAACATTGCGTGGTTTAACGCGAGAGGGCCAGAAACTTCTTAAATAGGAAGAATTCGATGGGAGGCTCTGCCCTGTTTCCGTTTGCTCGTAACCAGGCTATGTGGAGATTCTTTTCTCTCTAGCATCGAGCGACGGAAGAGCGCGGGGGGATACAAGGAGGCATGCAGTTTCTTCCTCGAGGAGAAATACTTGTACATAAGAACTTATAGTGTATTCGGAATACAAACCTAGGGCGCTAGATGGTAACAGATTTAACCTATTCCTGCGCCCCTGATCATTCTTGCCAACGCGGCGTCGTCGTAAACCAGCCCTCTTGAGGGCTCTCATCATTGAATTCATTCTTCTGCCTTGTGTGTTCATAAGTTATCCCTGTCGTGGCTTTTCCATTATGTGGAAACATGCGAGAAAGAGAAAAAAAAAAAAAAAAGATAAATGGAAATGACAAATGAGATGCAAACCACATAATAATCCATAGCAACCCAATATCTATCCAAGCCTCAAGATCCAGCCATCGCCCAACCGCACATTCCCGTCTCCGACACCGCCCCACAAGAACACGGCAGGCTCCTCGAGCTCATCCACGACAGCAGCTGAGATCCATCCTCTCGCCGAGGGCAACTCATCAGTGACATCGTCGTCATACGGCTCGGCCGTGACTTGAGTCCACCTGCCTTCCCTCGAAGCGGCCTTCCTTCCAATGGCGCTAAAGACGGTGTCCTTGATGGAACCGCCGTGAGGGGTGGGGATGCTAAACGCCCAGGCGTCGGAGAGGAATGTACCAGCGGCGTCATGGCCATCGCTGCTGGGGCTTTCCTCGCCCATGAGAAGGAGAAGATAGTCCCTGCCGTGGACATGAACGGGGAGGAGCGAAGACACGCTTCGAGGCGCGGGCCATAGATCGGGATCTAGCGTGTCGGTCTGGGGGATAGGTGTAAGAGTCTCCCAGCCATGCCGGGTAGTTACTGCAACCTCACCCTTCGAGACGACATCATCGAAGAAATCAGCCGCGAGGTGGAGCACGTCGACCTGACCGCCTAGTTCCTGCTTCCCGTCGAAGCCGCCGAAGCGGAATATCTTGCCCTTGGTCACACAGATCGACGTCCCACCCCTTGCAGGACCAGGCGGGGTCGGCAGCTCGCTCCAGACCTTCGAGCGCACGTCAAAACCCCAGATATCGTTGGCCCGCTCACCGCCTGCGAGGCAGCCGGCGTGGATGAAGAACGTGCCGTAGCCTTCGTCCTCCTCGTCCACGGCGCCAGCCGCGACGTTGCCGACGATGGGTGCCTGCGGGATCCCGACCTTTGCGCTGTCACCCATGGCCCAGTCATGCCAGGTCACTGGTTTTGGGCGGTGGGCGCTCGGGAAGTCCCTGGGGTGGTCGATCGCGGCGGCGGCGTGGTAGCTCCTGGCAGGAGGGAAGCGCGCGACAGCACCGGCAGCGGCCGGGGCGGGATCGAGGTAGGTCCACGTGTGGTTCCTCGTATCAAAGACCCAGACTCGGCCGGATTCTTCTAGCGGGGTCATATCAGGTCCTCCGCGACCGCCAAACACGAAGATCCGGCTGCCTATAGTGGCGCTGGCATGGCCGACGCGTGCGGGTGGTACGTCTCCGAGTCCAGAGGGAACCTCAGGCTCAGGCTGCTTAGCCTCATCCTTCTCCGCCAGGTCGGTGGCTGTCGCCGTATCCTCGCCGCTAAGCGGAACTTCGGTAAGGCCCTTCTGTCGGTTCGCCGATGTACTACTTCCTTCCTTTTGGGGCGGGGTAGCTTTCACGGGATATGAATCGGCCGAGGCGCTGAGGCTGAGGGGCAGGTTTATGACGTGGACGTCGTTGTTCACGGGCTGACGGGGATTAAACTCGCCGCCAAAGATGTAAGCGGAGCCGGAGACGACGTCGACGGTGTGGGAAGAGCGGGGTAGAGATGGTAGGTCGACCTTCTCCCAGGTGCCCCTCATCGTCGGGATTGTGGGCTTGCTGGACTGAACGGACTGCGGGAGGGACTGCGGGATCGATTGAAGGATTTCGGTTGTGCGGCGCTTGAGCGCCTGGAAAGACTCCATGGTGATGATGGTGAAAGCACTAGACAAGACCGCGGGATATCGGGGGTCGGGGCGATCGAGAAACGAGTGGTAGGACAAAAGAATCTCAGGAGATCAGGAGCGCGGAGATGGGGAGAGAGGGAGAAAAGGTATTGAAGTACGGCTTACGAGCTGATGAGGTAGAAAGAAGCTAGGGTGTGGCTGAAGGAGGAACGAATTGATAAGTTATGCAGGGAATTACCTGGGTTTGTGCTGACATCCGCTCACAGCTACTTCGTACAATCGTATCAATGGTTCGCCAACCGTACTACTTCGAAGTCCTTCCACGATCTAGACACAAATGAGAGTACTACGAGAGAGACGGGATGCGACCTATATACTCAGCCTCAATCTCAAACTATCCCGTATCTCAGAATAGAGCAATGAAGAAACAAGCCAACTATTCCGTCGTGGCTGGGTTGTCTTCCTGAATTGGTTGGTTTTCCTTCCCTGGATAGTTGCATCATAGTGCTGAGTGGGCTGACGTCTGCCCCTCGCCTCTTTACGACAGCTCCTTCCCACTTTGCCAAGACTGGTAATGGCTTGAGCTTCTCAATTCTCAATTATTACATAAGCAGAACCATCCACCGTGCGAATTGTATTCCTAGCACCTCAAGACCGATCTCCCCTTCTGTAAACGAGCCTGCCTCCGACCCAGGTCTCTTTGACCCTGAGATCTCGGAGCTCATCCACATCCAAAGTCTCGATGGGCTTGTCCATAACCACCCAATCGGCGAAAGCCCCTGCCTTGATAAGTCCCGCCTTTCCTTCCATGAACCCCCCGTACGCCACTCCAAGGGTAAACCCACGAAGAGCTTGGTCCACCGTCAGCGTCTCGTTTATTTGCCATCCGTCTGGGCTTCCCCCTACCCCCAACCCGGTATGGGGACTCCGTCTGGTGACGGCGGCGAAAATACCCTGGAATGGGCTGGGCGGCTCAACGGGAAAGTCGCTTCCCAGTATGGGATTTAAATCCAGGAGCGACCGCATTCGGTACGCTTCCGTCGATGTGCGCTCTGGACCTAGTCTCTCCTCGGCATACTTCATATCGGAAGTCGCATGTGTTGGCTGAATAGAAGGTATTAACCCTATAGAACGTATTCTTGCCTGGTCGTCCGGGTGTATAATCTGAGCATGTTCGATACGGAAACGATTGCTCTCCTGACAGTCTTCGAGATGAACTGCGTTTGGGCAAAGGGCCTTGAGAGAGTCCTCGAGGGCATCAACGGCATATCTATTCGCTAGATCTCCGATAGCATGGATATTGACCTGGAAGCCCTCGGTCGCCCATGATTTGGCCACGTTTATCAACGTAGATTTATTGACAAGCAGCGATCCGGACGTATCGGGTCGGTCACTGTATGGCTCGATCATCGCACTGCCCCAGCTTCCCAGCGCGCCATCTAGTCAGGCAAATGATTAGTGAGATGAACACAAAAGTATAATAGGAAAGTGCCCCCAGGCCAGAATTTCAGAAGTTCACCTTACCTGCAAACAGCTTTATACTTCTCACAGTAAGTCGCCCATCAGGTCTATCAACCTTCTTAACCATGTCGGGACAGAAAGTGTTGCGCTCCGGGCATTCGGCCATCGAGTATATGCGGACCGTCCATTCGTCCTCGTCCGCCATCTCCTCGAAGATTTCGAGGGTCTTTGGATATTCCCCAGCGTTATGCATCCCCACAAGTCCGACCTTGTTCAGGTTACGCATTGCGGTGCGGATGAACTCTTGTTTCTTCTTCCTGCCTGGCTCTGGGAATAGGCCATAAACCATCTCCATGGCATTGTCGCAGAACACTCCCATTCCAGGCTCTCTGATAATCTCGCCTCCCGGGACGTCTTCGATATCTTCCGGTAGAAGATCCAACACAGCTTGAGATACCCATGTACAATGGACGTCGACCCGATCGAACATTATGTAGATCCTACTTAAGACCGAATCTGCCTTGAGGTCATCCTGCAATCCATCTATCAGCATCCTGTTTCTCGCCTCGGAATAAGGAAATGAGTTTATTATTATATTCCACGTACCGCCGTTGGCATCCTTCCGAGGGCCATCTGATCCCATCCCACACCCCTGACCCACTCATCCTTCGAGCCGGCACCAGGGTTAGCCTCCAAATACTCCGCCAACCTTTGCCTCACCTCCTCAAAGCTCTTGGTCCCGAACAGATCTACCGAATGCAGAAACTCTCCGTACTGCATTAGGTGTCCGTGGCCATCCCAGAGTCCGGGGATGACATACCCATCACTGCGCTGACTTGCCAGAGATTCATCCTCACCCTCACCGCCCTTGGCCATGACGCGACTGAACTTGCCCTCTCGAACGCCAAAGCAGCTGGCGGTGGGCAAGGCTTCATCATGCGTCCTGATCCCTTCGTAGCAGTATACTACTTCGTCGTCGATGAGTGGTACCAGCGGACGTTGTAGTGTAATGAATCCCAAAGTGACGGCGACCGCTCCGATAAGAACGGTAAAGAGCCAGGTGTACAAGCGGGATGCCTCCATGGCGTGAGATGCCTCGATAACAGGCCGGGGGAAGCTTTTCTTTGGTAGTAGTCTAGTCAATCCGTTTAGTTGGGTGTTTCAGCATTTTATTCTGCCCGGCGGGCTTGGAAACAGAAATGTTGGAGGTTGGTAGATTCTGCAGGAGAGTAAATGGGAGGACAGCGCGAAGTTATTCGCACATGGCAGAAACAGAGAGCCCCAGACGCAACTGCCCGATTTAGAGGATTTCCACAGGGCGGGACGAGAGACTCGCGTGAAGACATCGATTTATAGAGTAAAATACCCGATGTATGAGCAATTCGGTAGCAAAATGTACGAATTTCTAGACGTTTAGAATTTACAGGTTCCTTGACTACGAGTGACTGCGGTAAAAACGGCATTCCTACAGTTGTACACAGGTAGACGATGATCTAGAGAGGACTCGTAGAAGTATTCATTATCTGTGTAACGCTAAGGTAAACCAGAATCTAACACCCTTCACCCCAGTTTTGACTGGTTATCAAACGCGAGATGCCGAATGAACTTCCTAGTTCAATGGCAGGTATGCATGGTACGCCCTCAACGCCTTTGCTGATGCTACAGAAGAGTTGAACTCAATCTCGGAACCAAATAGAAGGCATCGACGGAATCGGATCATAGAAGAAAAAGAATCTCCTAGGACCGAAGTGACGAAGTATGCCGTGGTAGGAGAAGGAAGACATATGCCGAAGTCTTCTTGATCGTAAGAGGAAATGTAGTGAATGGCAAACGCCTGTGCAGCGTGGGAAAGTGTGTGGACACTGTCTGCCATTACTGCAGGCCACTCCAATGATTTCCGTTGTTGGTGTTGCTGTTTTCAGTCGTGGGCTGAGAACCACTGGGCTCTCCCAGGCGACGGGTCCGCCTAGAAAGGCGACCTCGAGGAACCCAGGCAGTAGGAGGAAGAACGGTCACGGTCCTGACTGCAGGGGCTGGCTGAGCGTCAACCCGGCCCGATCCGGAGGCACTTCCATTGGCGGAAGCCTCGGCCGGACGCTGGGGTACATGGCGCGCAACGACAGGGATTGCCCTGGCGATTTCAACCGCGATGCTGGCCAACTCATCATCTGTGGCGTGGGGGTTGTACACAGTGGGAGCGAGTATCTGGAATTGCTCCTCAAGTTCCTCGAGCTCTTCCTTGCTGGGAGAAGGATGTTTCTTCACCTTGGCGACGGTGTCGCTCTGGACATCTTCCAGGCCCTCGCGCTCTTCCGAGGGGTTGTTGATATGTCGGTTCAGGTCGGAGAACTCCTTGTGATATTCCTTTCGGACAATGACGGTCTGGCCACTACAGTCGCTGAGATTGCCATCCTCGTCATCGGCAGAGGCAGAGGCATGGGCGGCGCCGGAGCTGTCAGGTCCGGGACTGTAAGCAACTTGCTGTCCCTCTTGGCCAAGGCCGGCGCCAGCAATTGCCTTCTGCTGACGCGAACCTCGTGGGGTGGACGCGGCAATGGGGCTAGTGGCCAAAAGGTCATTCATATGAAAATGGAAATCTCCCTCAGTGTTGAAAGGGTTGACGACTTCATGACCAAACTGGGAAACTCCACGCTGTCTGACAGTCGATGCCATCGGATCACTACCGGTGGCCGAAGCACTAACTTCCTGGTCGGCAAAAGGGTTGGCGGTGGGGCTACCCTGTCCGGGGTTTCCGGCAGGTAGACTGACACGCGAACCGGAAGGAACCGGCTTTCGAGCGATTCGGTAAGACGGCGTAACGGTCTCCGCCTTGTGGCCGCCAGTGCTTCCAGCAGCGACGGTGCGAGCCCCAGTATCCTTGACTGGCGAGGAAATATGGCGAGTCTGACGAAGAACAGGAGCCACCAGCTTAGCCTTCTCATCCTCGGCTTCCTTCTGGGGTTTCTTGTCATGGATTCGGCTCCAGATGCTGGACATCTTGGCCATCACTTTATTCTTCATGACTGACATCTTCGAAGGCGTAGGCTCATTCAAGGGGGATCTTCCCTCCAGAGCGGCCGTGGCAGCCAGCATGGCACTGACCTTTCGATTGATCTCCTCGGCCTCGTAGTAAGCCGAAGGACCCGGCGTCTTAATAGAAGGCTCCGCATGAGCCGTGACGGGCGAGAACGAGGTGGTGGTGGAACGGGCAAGTTCGATGCCATGAGAGCCAATTTTGGCAGACTCCGATGTCCTGGAAGTCGAGTTGGCACGGGCGATGCTTACCTTGTCAGGCTCAGTGCCAGATCCATAGCTGTATCGTGACTTCATCGTATGGCGATTCTGGCCGGCCATAGGGAGAGGCGAAAGCTCATCCACGGCTTCGGCAACGTTGCCTTCAATGTTGACATTACGATTCAAGTACATCTTGCCCGAGCCGTTGTGATCTGTGATACCTCATGGTTAGTAACTTCTACAATCCACGGACTGCTAGCGTGGGAATAGGAGAAAACATACCACCGGCTTTCTGTTTTCCTTTACCCTTACTGTCCTGGGGATGGGCAACAGTTCGTTCAAACGCGTCGGTGTTCAAGATGCCAATGGCATCATGGGCCAGAGTTGGCTGCAGCTGGGGGTAACCGATATCCATCTTGCTGATGGATTTCTTGCCATGATGCTCTGAAAAGATGCGATGTCAGTCTTCCTGTCCGATATGAGGTGACCAATGGTTCTTTTTTTCTTTCTCCAAATAGAGATGTAGGAGAAGAAAAGAAGGGATGGAAAAGAAGAATCTGACTCACTCATTGAACCTTGAGCCTCTCTCTTCTCAGAGCGAGAACCGAAGGTGAAAGCCTTACGGAGTTTCTTTCCGTTCGGGGGGTCACCGGCCGGGGGTGCCATGGCCGCCAAATTCTGAGTTACGAGTAAACGAATGGAGAGAATGGCAAAAACGAGAGTGGGTAGAGATCGCGAGACTCTTCTGCTAGGACGCGGTTGTTAGAACGATGATGAAAAAGAAGATTAAGGACGCGAGGACTTTACAAACACGAATAACGAATCTAGAGCGACGAGAAGTAGAGGAGAGACGAACTCGTCGAAGAAAAGCGTACTCCAAGTTGAGTGGGTAGAAGAGGAAGGCCGAGTGATGGAGAAGATTGGGTTGAGCCCTGATGTGAACAGAGGAAAAGATTCGAGTCACGTATTCCCCATTGTTTATTGTCGGCTGGGGGAACAATAGAAATAGAAAAACAAGAAGGAGCATGGCTAACATGTCTGTCCTGTCAAGGAAAGGTCGATCAGTTGGAAACGAAAAACGGTATTGGGGTTCGCGAAGTTCATGAAGTATGTGAAGTTCGCGAGCAGAGGGTCAAAGGTGAGCCAGGCTGGATCGGTGTGGAAGTGCTCAGTCATTCACGGCCCATCGAAATGAAGGATACTGGTGGAGTCTTTGTGCTCCGTCGAGTAATAGTCCGTACTGGGTAGTTTATTCGCGGATGAAAGAGTAAGCAAGGAGCCATTCTTCCTTTCCGTGTTTCTCAGTGATGTGTTTGATGGCGATGGCCGTAGAAGCCGGCGTGCAAGTCCTCATTTTCGAGATAAGACCGCTAACCATTTTTTGGTTCCGGACAGCGGTGCCCTTTGCCTGCTGCCGTCCCGGTAAGCAAAAGAGATATAACATCGATCTAATATTCTATCAGGTGAACGGGGAAGGGAGTGAGAGATGCAAGGCGTGTCCGGGCGGGAACCGATTCGATACATTTAAATAGCATGCAATACCTGCCCCTCCGGTGCCAGCCGTCGATACATGCCGAATGGAGGTGACAGGAACTTGCAAGGCGAAGCAACAGCTCCGATGCCACGGACATTACGGCTATATGTACTGAGGAGCTATCGTCACAATGATATCGGATGAAGTCCGGAGGCCCAACGGCTTTAGGCTCCGAAGCCCGGCTGTAACTCGGCCGAGGTGCGGAGAGGCCTTTCTGGGTCCGTGGATTTCGACGGCCCCGGATTTCAATCAAGACATCATTAGTGGCATGGTGTACATAGTTTAGTCCAGACAATCGTCTAGTGTAGGTCAGGCCAAGGTGAGCAGTGGGACTAGTGGGACCCTGCAGAGAAGAATAAGCATATTGAGCTGAGTCGACAAGGGCTTCATCTTGCACTCAATTGTCCAATTGAGATGAAGATAGTCGCTTTATTTAACACTGATAACTTGCTTCCGAATTTCCCATTGGTTTGCTCCGAATACTCGAGGGCGGCCTGAGATGAGACGCCGCGCTGCGTTAATACATACAATATCCTGAGTCATGTGGAGATAACGACGGGCGTAACCTATTGGATTAAGGTTGCTGTATCCTCACGGGGTTCCACGCCTGAAGAGTAGATTGAAAAGTGACGAGCAAATTTGATACCACTCTGTCTGAGAGCACATCTCCGAGGATCTAGGAAGTCGCACGCCATAATAGTGGTCCGATCCACCAGGGGGGTAGGAGAAAACGAAAACGAGAACGAAAGGATTAGCAAATGCCAGCCAAATGAGAGCAAATGCCGAATCACCGGAGTGCGCTCCTTGGTCTGGATTCGGCGTAGGTTCGAGAAAAAAGGCCGCGGAGGGGGCGTCGCCGACAAGAAATTGAAGCCAATCAGATGAGAAGAATTTGCAAAATTCAAATCTGGAAAGAGAAGCCGAGCGACATTTCCACCGGTCTTTGCCGCGGTCCCCAGGAATTCCCAGTTGACTGCAGTTGACCGGCCGCTCTAGCTCCAAGGTACGTATCTCCACACCACGCTACCTTCGGAAACTCACTAACTATACTTCAAGCCAAGTATAAGTCATAGGTAAAAATAGGATCAAGTACTTCACCTATCCTAGTCCCCTTGTCACTCTCGGACTCAGAGTCCGTCGCTCTGGTGGGTGGCGGCATCCTATTTTGGAAACTCCCCAAAATTTTGATACAAGAATAAGTTAACGTGCTCTCGGACTCTGCCGCCGCCTTTCTCCTCACCCTCCCTTCGATTTATCCCCTCTCCGTCGCACCAGAGTCCTCAATTCGTCCCACGAGCAATTGCAATTGTTTCTTTCTTCTTCTCGTCCAACACTGCTTTTTGTGTGTTGGAAGTAGCCCGTTCGCATTTCGAGGAACCTGCTTTCCCTTCCATCCCTGTTGGTGAGCGACATCGCATCCGACGGACTCTACGTCTCTCACACCACCCACCGAAGAAATCCCATCTTCCAGCCTTTCTAGGGTTATTTTTCCGACGCGCCTCTAAAACAATGTCCTTTTCCAGCTTGATGCAAGACCTCAGTATGAGGGATACGGGAATTCCCAGCAGCCGGCGCCCCGCGTCGGATGTCGCCTCCTCCATCATGGACGACCGGGCTTCCAGCGTCTCCCGCGCCTCCAACATCTCCAGGGCCATGTCCTATGCCAGCACCGCCGCTACTACCGTGAGCATCTCGGGCGAGATCTCGAGCCAGCTTCACGGGGGCTACCACCACCCCCTTGCACGACAATGGCAGGCCGAGCGACAGCTCACCAAGGTTAGTCATATTCTGTCACGAGCCTCGAATAGTCCGCCGAAGCCGCACAGGCTTAATCCATCCAGCCCCAACCCCTCAATTTCACTCTAGGGTTAGAGCTTGAGGGCTAACATCGGCACTTCTTCTTCTAGGACATGCTCATCTACCCCATCTTCGTTTCCGATATTGACGATGAGGAGGTCCTCATCCCCTCCCTTCCGAACCAATGCCGCCGCGGTATCAACCGCCTTATTCCCTTCCTCGAGCCCCTCGTCCACAAGGGTTTGAAGTCAGTCATGCTATTTGGTGTACCGATGAAGCCTGGAAGCAAGGATGCCCTCGGTACCTCGGCCGACGACCCGGAAGGCCCCGTTATCAAGTCGATCCGTCTCCTTCGTCAGCGGTTCCCCCAACTCTTCATCTGCACCGATGTCTGCCTTTGCGAGTATACCACCCACGGCCACTGCGGCATTCTCCGAGAGGATGGCACCCTCAATAACCAGCTTTCCGTGGATCGCATCTCCGATGTCGCGATGGCATATGCTGCGGCCGGAGCCCACTGCGTTGCGCCGTCCGATATGAACGACGGACGAATCCGGGCCATCAAGTTGAAGCTCATCGACCAAGGAATCTCTCACAAAACTCTCCTCATGTCTTACTCGGCGAAGTTCTCCGGATGTCTGTATGGCCCCTTCCGCGATGCGGCTGGCTCGGCACCCGCCTTCGGTGATAGGAGGTGCTACCAGCTTCCCCCCAGCGGACGGGGGATTGCTCGCCGAGCCATTGTTCGAGATATCAACGAGGGCGCCGACATCATCATGGTCAAGCCCGCCGGCCAATTCCTCGACGTCATCAGCGACGCCAAGGACTTGGGTCGGGACTTGCCCATTGCAGCCTACCAGGTCAGCGGCGAGTTTGCCATGATCCATGCCGGTGCTAAGGCCGGCGTCTTCGACCTCAAGAGCATGGCCTTTGAGTCGTCGGAGAGCATCCTCAGGGCAGGAGCGACCATCATCGTCAGTTACTTTACTCCCGAGTTCCTTGACTGGCTCTAGAGGGTTGTTGGGCAATGACTATCACGAGCTGGGACGAGCGGTGGTTTTTTTTTCGTCTTTTTCTTTTTCGTTCTCCTTGATTGATGTCATTTTAGAGGCACGGCGTTATTCGGGTTTAGACGGGTGTAGAGCGCACGATTTGCAAAGAAAAAAAGAGAAAAATAAGGGACTCTGGACTACAACAATCTCCTTATGTTTTGAAGTTACTTCGAAATAACTTGTATGAATAGTACTACATATTAATGAACATGCATGACCCGGTACACCCGACGCAGTGAACTGGACCCTAAACTTGCTATGGTTCTGGAAGGATGAAGTGGGCAAAACTGAGCAGATGATGTTCTCGGGGGGCCAGACTTGCGTGATATTTCGGGCCTTGAGCTGCGAAGAACCTGCAATTGATTGACAAGGGCATTCCGGGAGTGCAATTCCGAGAAAGATATGCATCCTGACCGCCATTCTCAGCATGGAGAGCTACATACGGGGGCTTCTTTATCGGGCGGATACGGATGCATCGAGCTTGTTATAGAGAAGAAATGCTGTGGCTCTCCCGTGTCTACATGGACAAAGGCAGTGGACTGGGTCCATTCAAACACGACATCGAGTTGGATCAATCCTTGCAGCAAGGGGGGTTGTGGGATTTTTTTAGTTTCCTACCCCGCGTTTTTTGCTGAACTCAACTAATAATACCCTCCCCTCCACTATATTGCGCGGAGCTTAAGCACCACGGATTTAAGAGGTGGGCCTCGTCTACCTGTAATTGCCATCTCACAAGGGCTTCAGTTGGGCAGAAATGCCGATCGATGTACTTTTGGCAGATTCTTCTGCTCCTCCCGGTCCGCCCAATTCGTTGTGATGAATGAACTCTTCGAACTCGGTTCGGTCTACCTCGGTGACCAGGAATGGGAAAGCCGCAGCAAGGGAACATTGAGATGGCTTATTCGAGTACTCCTAAGCGATCATGGGCAGATGATAACGAGTGACCTGGAGTCGAAAGTCGGAATTGAATATCGACAACTATTGATATCTGGAAAGTCCTCATCAACTCTGCCTTAGGGTTTACGTCCCTCGTGCATCTCGGCACAAATCTTCAACGCAATGTCCAACAGACTTGATCTGTGCCTGGGCATGTAAAGACCAACAAGGGAGGCACGCGTATGGATGGCCCTGAAGTATTATTATACATCAACCGATAGGTTCCGAGCTAGTATTCTGCATGTTGCGTGTAACAGAAACTGAATTCGGAAAGAGAGGGCAAATGTAGGGCTATATCTGGATCAGATAATACCCTGAATGAGCAACGAGCACCTCCGGGCTATCCGTGGGCTTTGCGACCGAGCTCTGCAGACCATGAAGATGCGGCGACTGCAGCATTGCTTTGACGTTGTCTTCTTGCCGTTGTCCAGTCCACATACAGCTTGCCTTAATATACTTCGTACGTAGTAGGGTACAGCCACGGTGCTAGGATGAGGCGAATCAAATCCATGATGGCAATGCCGTTGGGAGAAAATTAGAAATCGGGTCGAGGTTCAGCCAGCCCGGCGCGTGTTTCTTTGGAGCCCTGAAAACCCCCACTAAAAGGCACCTGACCATCTCTAAATTTCAAGCGTCTCGAATCCATTGATGGTGTTTAGCGTCCCTTTTCCAAGTCGGTAAATTGATATTTGATAATCTTGAGTTGTCCATTTCGTTGTCGCCGCTCAGTGAGTTGCCTCGTCTTGATGGGGAGGAGGTACAGATATTCTACGCTTCGTCAAAGTTGGCAACCAACACATCAGGGAATTGATGGACTCAAAGAAGTCGGCACGGGTACGAAGTAGGCACGCGACCACCCAAAAACTTCAGACACTCTCCATGTGTGACCCAATCGTAGAAACCTATTATAACACTCGACGAATCCTTCAATGTTAGTTTCGACCATATGGGCTTGGGGGTTTGAAGCAAGCCTGACAGACAGATGAAGGCGAGATACGAGGGAGAATCAGATCAAATGCGTTCTCCATGTGTCCAGGAATTGCCCCCACGGACCATCTCTATCTAAGTGGAGTTACCATTAGCCCTCCACGCGATTGCCAGGCTTATCCTTCCGCCATTCGACGGATACTCTCGCCGGGTTCTGCTCTTTGTGAATCAAGGCGAATCCTGGCGATACACTAGAATGCGGTCCAGGAATCACCGAGATGAAATCGGTGTACTTCGTCGATGAGCTTCCGTCTAAACTGATTGTTCGGCGTCTGAGCCGCTTGCTGTTGGCGGGGCCATCTCGATCAATATTTTACCCCGCTCTCAAGGCACCCTCCTCCTATCCCCTCTTTGCCTGTTTGTATGCTAATGCAGTGACATTGGAACCCCCCGGTTTAGATTTCTGGTCCACGGCTCAGCCGATGTGCGCTAAATCAGGGCATTTATTCGTATCGGGAACTCTTTCCAAAGGCAACATGGAGGCTTTGATACTGACGAGAGATACTTACTCCAACGGGGCGCGAGCTGGCGTTGAAACGAAACTACCAAATTTTTTGCTTCTCGCCTGGCCAGGCGAGGAGACCGGCTCTGAAGCCAGGGTTGTGTGGATGTCTGCCTGATCAGAGAACTGAAGAGCGCTAATTACCTGACCAGACCACCAAATGTTTTTGCAGCCTCAGAGGGGGATGCGACGAGAGAAATTAGAGCAAGCGCAAAGAGGGAATTCAGCATGAAAGGAAACAAACAAGACCTTTGAAGTCCAAGGACAATTGGAACAATGAATACAGTCTTGCGCTTACCGGTATTGCTACGCCAATTGCTAATTGCTATTTCAAGGCGCTGGCTGTTTTAAATGAAGAGTAAGAGCAAGTACTTGCGAAGGTAACCAGATTACACAGGCAAAGAGAAACAATACATCTATCAAATTCATCTTGATGGAGCCATCTTCCTCTCAGCCAGTGACTCAGTCCCATTATTGACTGGAGCCCTCTCAGAAGTTCCTTCCCATTTTTCATTTTTCATTTTGCAATCACCTCCATTGTGCCTGCCTTGGCTGCCGCTGCTGCTGCAAGTATACTGCTCGTTGTACTGCCTGGCTCGGTTTCTTGCCACCTGCCCACCGCAACTGTACAAATCAGCCCCTCCAGCTGTGCTATTGAACTGTGCGCCTGCCAGGCTACCTTCGTACACCTTAGGAGTACCTTAGCTCCAGCTGGAACCAACCCAAGCCATTTCCCCATTTCCCCATTTCCCCATTTCACCATTACACCATTACTTCATATCCCATTCTCCCACACTTCATACTACACACTCTCTCCTAAAATCTAACAAGACTGGATGCAAGTGAGGAAAACCCTTTCCAAAGTTTCCCAGACCTCAGATTTGATGCAAATGAAAGACTATTGTCTTGCTAAAAAAAATCTGTTAGAATAACACTGCCAACCCCAGCTGGATGCTCAAAGACATCTTGGATCCCTCACATTTGATCCTGCCTTTTCCCTCATTCTCTCTCTCCTTGACAGGAGGAAGGTGCAATAGAGGCCCCTCACCCCTCTGCAAAGTAAACTAACCAACATTCCCACCACTGTGCGACTTTGCCTCGGAGCACAGCTACTGAAAATTTTCCTCCAAAGTCACTTCAGCCTTGGGACCTATTGTCGCGCCTCTCTTCCTTCTACCCCTCCTCAACTTTCATACCAGCCCAACCTTTGGACGATAACCTCACAGTGGTAGCCATTGCTGCCATCCTTTAGTCCCGTCCACCATGGGTCAGACCCTTTCCGAGCCTGTTGTCGAGAAGGTATGTTGCTCCCCTATTCGATGCCAATTGGTACCCATGTCATGCTGTGTCCCACCCTCACGAGGACACCTCTCTCCTCCGCTTGATCCATGCCTCAATCCCCCAAGGTGCCATGCTCCCGAGTCCTTTGTTTCGATAGAGCTCTTCGAAGCCGCCTGCTGCGTCGAGATCGCGTTCCCCCGTCTCCCGACGATGGCTTGCCCTTTCTGGGCTTCATCTACCCCTCGCTCGACCCACTCTTACCCCTCCGTCGTTTCTTTACTCCCCCCACTATTGTCGCCGTGACGACGACTACCCTGGTATCAACGTCGCCGGGCTCAAGGACGAAGGCAGAAAAAGACGTAACGCGTTTCATTTGCACATGCTAATCGGTTTCCGTGTCTCGTTCCCCTAGACATCGGCTCGCGGCGAAGATGATCGTCTCCTTTACGGAGTTTCTGCTATGCAAGGATGGCGGATTAGTATGGAGGATGCACACACCACTATTCTCGACCTACTAGCCGGCGCGAAAAGCAATGACGCGAAGGCGCACGCCTCCCGACTTTCGTTCTTTGGGGTATTCGACGGACACGGTGGTGACAAGGTCGCCCTTTTCGCCGGCGAGAACATCCATCGCATCGTGACGAAGCAGGAAGCGTTTAAGTCTCAAAACTACGAGCAAGCGCTGAAGGACGGTTTTCTCGCCACAGACGCCGCGATTCTGAAGGGTACAGCCATCTTTCTCCCTCCCTCTTTCTTTGCTCCTTCTTTGATACCCCCTTTTGCTCGTTGAGTTGTCGGCAGGGCGTGCGCTGCGACTGATGTAAAATATCCCGTCGCCTTGGCGTGCTCGCGAGCTTTGACTTGGACGTTTATTCAAATCCGTGTCTGTTTTTCTCTAACTCTCGAATTCACCATGTACAGACCCGAAGTATGAAGATGAGGTTTCTGGCTGTACGGCGTGCGTGGGCTTAATTACCGACGATAAAGTTTACATTGTTAGTTCACTCCTCGAGAACCCGCTAACCTCGTCCGCAACGGATACCTCCCGTCCCACACCATGTTCGTCCCGACTGATCATTCGATGCGATAGGCCAACGCCGGTGACTCGAGAGGCGTAATTGGCATCAAGGGACGTGCGAAGCCACTCTCTCAGGACCACAAACCCCAACTTGAAAGTACGATCATACTTCTCCAACCCGGCTATATAGCCGCCCTTCTTATCTTGCCTAGACAACCCGCTATGTCACGCTTGCCCCAAGCAGGCCCCCTCCCCCATTCCCTCCTCCTCACGTCTGGAAGTGCTGCGACTTGGTAGCTAACTTGAATGCGCTTCTGTGCCAAACAGCCGAGAAGAATCGTATCACCGCCGCTGGTGGCTTCGTCGATTTCGGCCGAGTCAACGGAAACCTTGCACTATCTCGCGCCATTGGAGATTTCGAGTTCAAGAAGAGCGCTGAGCTCCCACCGGAGGAACAAATTGTCACAGCCTTCCCCGATGTGGACGTTCACGACCTTACCGACGATGATGAATTCCTCGTTCTCGCTTGTGATGGTATGTTGAGAAGAATGCCATATTTGGGAGGGGGTTCCCAAGCCTGCTAGTTACGATTCGATCGAGGACGCAGCCGTACTAATTTCACGTGTGTGCTCCAGGTATTTGGGACTGCCAATCTTCTCAGGCGGTTGTCGAATTCGTCCGCCGTGGCATTGCTGCTAAGCAAGATCTCGACAAGATCTGTGAGAACATGATGGACAACTGCCTCGCTTCGAACTCAGAGACCGGAGGAGTCGGTTGCGATAACATGACCATGATCATTGTTGGGTTCCTCAGGGGCCGCACCAAGGAGGAGTGGTATGAGGAGGTTGCCCGCCGAGTGGCTAACGGAGATGGACCTTGCGCCCCCCCTGAATACGGTATGAATGCCCCCAAGGAGATGGTCGATTGAGTCTTCCCTTATTTTGTTTTTGCTTTCTCCCCCCCCTTTTCCTCCCTATCCCTCTTCTGGTCTATTTTTGTAAACCTATACCCCTGATATTCAATTTGTCCACGTTGAACCTCGCCGTTGCTGTTTGTCTGGGTTTCTTTTCCGGGAGTACTTTATTCTATGTATATCCCTTGCCTTGATATTATACCATGCGTTGGTTCTTACTCAAGAGGAAGAAAACGTGAAGCTAATCGATGTCTTTCCTCCTTCCCAGCTGAATTCCGTGGCCCAGGCGTTCATCACAACTTCGATGATAGTGATAGCGGGTACGATAACACGGACTTGGAGCAACGGACTGCCCGATCTCTGGGTCTAGCTGGCTTCCCAGGTCGCGTAATCTTCCTCGGCGACGGCACCGAAGTTCACCCCAACTCTTCAGACGACTCCGATATGGTTGACCAAATGGAGGAGGACAAAGACTTGGAGAGCCAAGTTACGAAAGGCGAGAAGACAGACGTAGTCACGGGCGGTAGTAAGGAGACGACCGACAGTGAGAAGGCAACCAACGCCGAGAAACCCAAGGCGGACGATGTTAAGAAGGATTGAGGAAGGGACTTCGTCAGAGTTTTTGTGATTTCCCCTTTTATTTTTGTTTTGTTTTCTAACGTATCAAGCAAACTCGTTTCATGGAAAGGTGCTGCGAAGGCATGCGGCGGGTATATGAGAGGTTTTCGCGATTGAAACTATTTCCCCCTTGTTAAACGACATGCGGCCCCCCTATATACATGTGTTTTGTCTGTGTGCTCGCGAGTAGGTGTTTGCACTCAATGTGTGAGAATGTAGGGGAGGTTATGGGATGTTAGCTGGATATATTGGTCATGGTATATTGTTGGTTGCGGGGACTTTGTCTTCTTTTTTTAGTTATATATTTTTTCTTCTTCCATTTGGGTCACCCATCATCCCGTTTTATATGATTTTGGAAGTTGCTTTCAGGTTGGGATGGATTTGCAGGCAAGGTAGGTTCTGGGAAGTCGCCGGGTATGCCTGGATGAAAGGACCCAAAAAAAGTAGGGGAGGGTGGGTCGGCAAACGTTCTCACAGTTTCTGGAGTGGTTTCTCTTCTCGTTATCTTGTTTACCTCGCCGGCTTTGAGGAGAAAGATTATGCTCGAAGTCGCTCGTTGTTTTTGAATGCTAAAGCTCCCTAGGGAGTACGACTTCTGAGCACGCGTCGGGACAGAAACACGAATATCAATGGCTTTTGAGAGCTTTTTTTCCCTCGTACATGACTATATGCCCGTTCTATATAACGCATCCATCTTCGTCCCCCTCAAACATGTAGTAAAAGAACATGAAAAGTACAAAAAAAAGGAAAAGAAAATAGGGGCGAAAAGGGAGATGCAGCAACTCGTAGATGTACACAAAAAACCGCCAACATATTCCCCTTTTCTCTTATAAAAAAATGAAAAGAAGAAGTAAGAACTGAAGGGTATATCGAGTCTACTTTCCTTCTTTTTTTTCTTCTTGGGGAGATTATACTGTACACGGGAGAGAAGGAAACGGCCAAAACAGGGGGGGGGGAGGGGGGAAGGGGACCTAGTCGCCCGTTTCTGACGGCTTTACACTGTCTCCCGACGACTCCGTTTCCGATGGCTTCGCACGGTCTTCTGATGATTCGTCATCTTCCCACTCGTGTTTGATTTCGCTCTGCCACTCTGCCAACCGATCCTTATATCGCGTTACCCAGGTCCTGGGTTTCTTCGGAGTCGGGTTGGTGGACGGCGGTAGGATGAGGCAGTGACTAGGCGAGATTTCGACGTCCGGGAAGTTCTTCGGCTCGTCGAACCACTCGCGGGGGTAATTGTGGAACACGGCGTTGGTTGTCAGCGGGATCGTCATCACCTTCCGCATCCTGTTGTCCTTTCCGCCTTGGATGGGTATCTCGAGGAACCTCTCCTTCTCCGAGTCGGCGATGGAAAGGACGTGCGAACCGGGTCGGTCGGCGTAGTCCCGGCGGAGGGCGAGGAGCTTCTTGTCGAGGATCCAGGCCTTCTCGATCATGACGGAGAGCGGGAGGATGGGGCTGAATCCGTGCCACACCGTTCGGATGAGCTTTGCGATGACGGCACCCTTGTCCTCCTCCTGTTCAGGGAACCTCTCGATTTCCATGGCGAAGGCTGATTCGATCTCTCGCGGCACGTAACCGGGCATGGCGAAGTACCGATATAGCTTCATGACCATGGCCTTTCGGAATTCAGGCGACATGTGGTACCCGGGGTCGTCTAACTGCCTAGACACCTTGAACCTCATGGCGAAGGACGTCGATTCTTCGAGACAGGCGTAGGCCCAGAGGACGGCCATGACGTTTGGAAGCCGGCAGCTCCAGGCTATGGAGAACATCTCACTCACGAAGTGGAATGATCGCTTCTCCCACGGTTGACTCTCGCGTCTTTGCAGGAGGGCGACGGCCCGCGGGAACTGGGAGTTGACACGCAAGCTGTTGAGCAGCGTCGCGTACGTAGTCATCTCGGGCCATCTGTTGTACGCCTTCTCAAAGTGGTCGAGGAGCTCGAAGCACATATCGTACCGCCCAAAGTGGCCACAGACATTAAGCATCCTATTCAGGGCGGTGACCGAGGGCCAGGTAGGGCCGTAGGCTTCATCCATTTCTCGGCAAAAGTCTGTGGCGGATTGGCCGGCCTTCACGGCGCGGTACATGTCGAAGCCGACGAGCTCCCTGACGATGTCGCTTACTGAGTGGGGGTTGCTGAGAAGGCCGATCGAGTCCATTGACCGCACGATTTCTCGCTTCGCTACCTCGTCGGGCACCATCTGGAGGAAATATCTCCACGTCTTATAATTAGGAGCGCAGTTATAGCTGGCCATGAAGTCGAGCATCGTGTTAAAACTCTTAACGTGCCGAGCTTTAGCAGATCCGTAGAGAAACTTGGCGAACACGTCGGTGTCCATGGGCATTGCTTGAATTTGCATCTGCGTAAAAAGGCGGCGGGCGTGCGGCCTGAAAGCGAGGCCTCGTTCCTCTATAGATTCTAGTGCCACCTTGTAGGCCGCCACGGTGATAGCGTGCCGCGCAGATTTATCTCGGAAGGCTTCGTGGATCAAGACCATCAAGACCTCGTCCACCGCTTGAGGGGTGCCGTAGAATTCGATGGCCCGGTGAGGGCGCAGCTTCACCAGGGCTAGGGTACGGATATACTTCATGAAAGAGTGCTGATCCCACGTCTCCGGTTTCGGGATGTCTTCCACGCGATGGTTCCAGATGTAAGGCTTCCTTGAGCTCTTTCTGAGGTGGCGTGGCTGGTCTGTTATTTTGCTGGAGACGCACAACTCTTTCGCTAACTCGGGGTCTTCTCGAAGTAGTGACGCATCGGGGTTCGAGGGATCTGGCGAGAAAACCAAGGCATCACCGCCGCACACCCCCATTATTATGTTGGCGGCGTCGTTGACCACTACGTCGTCGCCTGATAAGAGAAGAGCAGAGCGGCCGTCGCCTTCCATCCCCTTGTATAACTCAATCTCGCAACTGGTGCGGTCATGGATATCCCAGATATTATTATCAACATTCGTAGTGAGGGGTTCAACATATTCGGGAGGTATCACGATCTTGAGCGCATGTTTCTTCCAACCGTGAAGTCTTTTTGGCGTTCGGGTCTCGAGGATGCGTAATGTCTGCCTCCACGAGGGAATCTTAAGGTTTCTAGATTTCAAGTGGTCTTCCTGCATTATTTGTGACACCACACTCCTATGCACTGATGTCTCGCTGCGCGCCTTGGCGTTCGCCGTAGGGTACTGTAGCAAGGGCTGCACCAGTTCTCGGTTCTTCGGTACTCGGAGCGACTTGTTCCGGGTCGGCTCGAGGCTCGGAGGCTTATCCCAAGTGTTCACTGCAGGCACTTGTTGCGGACCCCGCGAATCGTCGGCCAGGGAAGTGAAGTTTCTAAAGGTCCGCCGAACAGCGCAGCGGGAGCATAAGGAGGGCGACACGGCAGACCGCGCCATGGTCCCGAGGGTCCAGACACGGTGCCTCCATTGTGCCTCAATTCCCCGGAGCATGGGCTAGACTCATCGCATGCTTGATCTGCGACGAGTAGGATGTATCGTATGAGGAGGATGTAGAACTAGCGACGGTTGGCAGGATCCACAGTTTCGAGCGATGGTGATGCGGGATGTTGAGTCTGAATGGTATGTATATTCATTCGGTGATGAGGGATTGAGAGAGAAGAGCTTTAGAAACTTTGACGAAAAAAAAGTCGGATAATCGCTCCTATTGGTTCATTGGCCTTGATTCCTTCGAGTTCTCAGAAAACCCCCTGTCGATGGGTCATGACTAATCATGAAGTCGCTTGAAGAGCTGGATCACGTGCCTCCAACAGCTGTCTTTCCAGACGTTCTGAGGTATTAAGTATTCTTACCATTAACAATTAATACCCATGAATGCCACCAGCCAAATCATGGATGCAGAAGTCTTGGATGAGTGTAGTCGTACATGGATATTGCCGTCCCAAGAAACAAGGTTATCGTTCTCCAATGCGTGTATCTCCTGTGCCAATTGCGGTCGTCACTGGAAAACTCCAGCCATTCTACGGAGGGATATCTTCATCTCCGTCCTTGGCCTTTACCCCATCACCCTTTTGCGGTCCCGCTGGGCCGCTCTGGTCAACGCCTCTCCATGCCTTTCCCCATCCCATTTCTTCCTGAACGCCATGAGCCGATTTCCCGCTTTCCACCATGCCCTTGATATCACTCCAATATGCTAGTTTCCTTACCTCCTCGTCCGCGTGCTGGATGGCAACTTCGAGGTTGGCCTTCCGCTCCTCTAGGCTAGGGGACTTGTCCTTTTTGAGGTCCGCGACAGTCTTATCCAAAGCTTGGGAAAGATTGGATAGCAAAATCTTCCGAGATGCCTGAAACACAAAATTGATCATAACTTCATGCATTTCGTGCCCGAGGTTCTGGAGATCGGGCCCGGCATGCTCGAGGTAATTGCTCACAGCCTCCAGTTTCTCGCGGTCGATCCTCGCCTTGCGCAGCACGTGGAGAAGCGTCTCGACATCCTCGATTTGATGAGCATTGACGTCGAATGCGGACTCGGCTTCCGAGTGGTAGCTGGCAAAACTCGCCCTGCTTCCCCCGCCAACGCTGCTTCCGCGGCTCCGCGTGCGGGAGTGGGTCTGGCTCTCTCGAGACCGGACGGTGAAGTAGTCTGTATTTAGTAGGTGAGGGTCCGTAGTAGTCGTAGCGAGTAACTCAAGATCCTTCTTGACTCGTTTCCGAATCCATGCGCGCCTCCTCACGAAGGAATTCCACCACCGAGGACGGTGCCAAGAGAACTTCTTCGAGAACATGAACGAGTACTCCCACCCGCCTTCGTCAACCTTGTCATGAAAGTGGATGCGCCATTCTGGCCACGCCCATTCCCATGTTGGATCTGGAACCTGGGTGGTTTGCGTATCCGTGGGACTGGTTTTGTGAAAAGCATTGGTCCACGGAGGCGGGTCCAAGCTCCCCAGTGCTTTCGAGGAGAACAACGGAATTCCACAAAGGAACCCACCGCGCTCGTTCTCGTACAGGACGTCAATGACAGCCTCCCGGTCTTTTGTTGAAGTTTTGGACAAAGTATTCCTACTAGATACGGTTTGTACGACGTTGGGGGTGGCGTCTAGAATAATCGGCACATTCAGACGTTGATCTCCTCAGAGATGTGTGAGACGATTATTAAATAGTTTTTTTGTAACTTACCCTCGATCTCTATGGATGGCCCCCTGCCTGGCTGCTCTTCGGGTTCCAACTCCGAGCTCTGTGCCTCCGCGCTAGCATTGAGGGCCTCGCTAACCCTCTCTATCGGCAATAGCTTGCCGGATGGGACAGATAGGCTTGATGACGCATGACTTCCAGTCCGGGCAGTCGAGGGTCCTCCCACATCTGGGCTGGCAACCTCTGGAGGGCTCTCTCTGGAGGTGGCAGCAGCAAGGCTGTCGCGTGCGTCGTCGTCGTCAATAAGACCGATCTCATGATCGTAGTCGCTCTCTTTCAAGCCAGGGGCTCGACGCGAGGAACGTATTCTGGGCATTTCTGCTATTGGAAACAATTCGACATGGCGAAGAGCAGGGGTTAAAGGATGGAATGCGAGGCGAATCAACAGTAAAGAAAGACCGACGGGACGAGGTTTTGAGGTTGCCGGGCTAGAGTTCGCATCAATTTACGAAGTAGGACAATCTTCAATGAGCCAGGCTGGGCCGTGCACCAGAAGATACGACGTAAAGAGCAATTCGGAAGCTAAAGAGAGCAAGAAGAAGTTGAGAGCAATTAACTGTAGCAATAACTTTCTGGGATTTGCAGTAATGTGTAGGTTTCAGGCTGGGATAGTGTGACTTTTATATCTATAACTTTCTGGGATTTGCAGTAATGTGTAGGTTTCAGGCTGGGATAGTGTGACTTTTATATCTATAGGGCTGCTGGAGGTTACATAGGTGGAGGAAACAGGGAATTCGTTACAGGGATTATACAAAGGTAGATCGTGATCGATTTGATCTTGGGGAAAGGACCGAGGCAGGCTAAAAAGAGCTCAAGCTGTGCTGCTGTAGTACCTGTGTATTCGAGTAAATATTGATCAATCATGTTTATACTTATACTGAGGTAGTTTAGGTGACGTTACTTGCGCGTGCATTGACGCACTGTGTGATCACTATCGACGCATTATTGACGAAGGTTCCTTGGCCATTGAATCGAATCTCGCCAGCTTTGTCGAATTGTCCTGCTGTGCTAGCAATCCCAATAGTCAGATTTGATGAATTTGATGTATTTGCCGCTCGTCTAGCTAAACTTAGGGGTATATTATTCCAACAGGTTGTTGTGGGATATTACGAAGTACTGTGCACGCCAATCTAAAAACCCGAACGCTCAAGTAGTACGAATCGAGTGGGCCTCTTCTGAAATTCGGTGGTTCGGTGGCCAGAAACTCTTGTCTACTGATCTTGGCTTGCCACCTGCGAATCAATTCTAAACGTTTACTTTTATTGAAGGTTGAGGTTTCCAATATTAATCGACGCTATCCCACAAGCCTTAAAGAGACGTCTTGTTTCCAACACCGCCGGAGTTGTTAGCCCAGGTTGCGATGGCAGGCCGTCTCTTAGAAGCCTGTCGGTGAAAGCCGAGCTCAGAAGGCACACAGAGATCTCGAATCAGAAAGGTTTAATGTAACATCAATGTTCAATATCGTCGATCGCAGTATGTTCAAGTTTTAAGAGGTCTCCTCTCGAAGTCTAGCTCGGCCTCGAAAGAACTGTAAAGGAACTGCTGTATTTAGAGGGGCAACTTTTCTTCTCAGGTACTTGAGCGTTACTCTTGGTTGTTGACCGCTGACCGTGAGCTCGGGGGGTGATGTCATTGGTGGGGCATCCTCTCCGTCTACGAAGCGGATGGCGAACGGACTCCGCATGTCTCTATCAACCAGCACTCGCACTCAGGACCAGGAAGCCATGACAGTTTGAAATATCGATTTATCAATCGATGGTACTCACGTGTACTCCGTAGTCGCTGGGAAGTCCCAGGCCATGATACTCAGTAATAAAGGCATAAAGGTACATTTCCAGATGAGTGAAGAGACCTGAGCAGAGCAGTGGTCGGGAAGGACTGCCTGACTGCTTGCGCAGCGAGACACTCCTTTCCTCGCAACCACTTCGTAATACATCACTTGTATCCCCCCAACAGGAGGACCCTTGGCCCTGCTGCAAACTGCAACTGTGTGTTCTGCTCTGCTTTGCTCTTTCTGCTTTGCTCTTTCCCCTCGCATACATCATGCCCAAACTTTACGTCATGTCTCGAAATGTTCCCCCGCAACCGACATCAACCGCGTCCAGCATGAGGAAGGAGCAAGCCAGCTTTGCGCCTATTGGTGATATTGGTGACATCAGATGATACCGGGCGAGCATCAGCCAACTGGTATCGAGGAAGTCGAGACCGCACATCATCGACAAGCATCACCCGTTCCCTGCAGCTGAGAGGAGGGTACGAAGTACTCAATACAGTTCCGATCTTCCTCCCCCTCTCGAGATTCCCATATATTGTGTCGCCTATATATAACGAGATTTCCCCTCCTTTCATTTGCGAATCCCATCGTAGGGGCGACACGAGTAATTCGATTCATCGTCACGTATTTGAATTGGGAAAAAGCCATCTCACGCGAAACCTTTCCAAGCTCTATCCAGTGCCAGCCGACTAATATCTAGCAACAATGTCGCAACCGCGGTCGAAGCTCCCCACTTATCTCGGCCTGGCCGCCGCTGGTGGCATCGGCTACTACCTCTACACGGCCGGAGGCAGCCCCAAGGCCGCGGCGGATGAAGCCAAGCGTTCGTCAACCCTCTCCCCCCATCCTGACTTCACGGGTTAGCTACCGTCGTGGAATTGATTCCGAGGAGATAAAAACAGTGGAAAGGCAATAGTGGAAGAAAACCAACTAAAATTGAATAAATCCCTCTGAGGGGAGACGTATTTAACGGAGATAGGGCGTTGCAGCGGCTGGACTAACATGATTCTTTATGTAGACGATGCAACCAAGGCCTTTCCCACCTCGGACAAGAAGTCGGCTGCCGGTGTCGGCAGCAAGATTGACAATGCTGTATGAGCTATTCCGTCCTCCTCGCGTTCAAACCAGAACCGAATTTCCTGCTCATCGTGTCGCTCACTAACAACTCTCAATGCGCAGGTGCAAGAGGCAGAAAAGTCGTTGCACAACGCCAAGACCAGCGTCGAGTCGTATGCAAAAGAGACGAAGGACGAAATCACTCGCGGTTTCGACAAGGCAGACAAGAAGATTGAGGAGGGTGCCGCCAAGGCGAAGGGCTGGTTCAGTTCTAAATAAGTTTTCCTGCGGCAGATCCAAGGAAACATAAATCAAACCATACCAAAGAAATACCCACTCATTATTTGGAGTTCTGTAGCAAGAATCAATTTGTAGTCCCTGGTGTCATGGAATGAATTCATGGGGAGGCACATATGTGGATAGGAAGCACGAGTAATTGTACCAGCCTCTCGATCCGATTCGACAGCTTCCTCTTTGAGCTGCTGCTCCTGCTGGCGTGTCCATTATCGTCTATAAAATCCAATCTTCTATCGTATCAAAGAACTCCCTTGATTCGCTAATCGCTGTGCACTCTATTTTTGGTTCCTTCGTCTAAGGCTCTGCATCCTCTCTACCTATCGAGAGCGGCTGCCACCAACTTGAGGATCTCTTCGATTCCTTTCCTGGCGTTCTTAGGATCCTTCGCTATCCTCTGCCAATATTCGCCATGCCGTGGCTCGTTCATGATACATTTGGAAATAACTTCGCCTCGCTTCTCCTGTCCAGTCATAAACACGTTAGTAAAAGAAGACCTAAGAAGAGTGAGCGGGGATTTAAAGAATCGACCTACCTCAGTACCATGCTGCAGCAAGAACTTGTAATACCAAGCCCACGTATCCCCGTTATCGCTATCCAGCACCAGCGCCTTCTCGAACCAGCTCTGCGCCTTATCGAGCTTCCTCTCCGTCCAGAAGATCCGCGCCACGGCGACGAAAAGCAGCGGATCTGTGTCCACCTTCTTGATCGCCTCGAGACTACGAGGCCGCCTCTGCGTGCGCGGTTCGAGGAACCAAATCTGCTCGCTCCAGAGCAATCCGCTTCGGGGCACCTCCTGCATGGCCTTGGCCATGACGTTGCGCGCCTGGTTTGCGTTGCCGGCGCGGCGTTCCACGCGCACCGATTCGCACCAGAGCTCGGGGGATTTGGGCACGGCGAGGCGCGCCCGGTCGAGCACGCTGCGGGCCTTGGTCACCGAACCGGCGTTCTCCTCGAGGCGGGAGTAGAGGAGCCACAGGGGTACGGATGTGGGCACGGCCTTGACGCCTGTGGCGTACGCCTCTCTCGCCTGCGGCACCATGCCCATGTCTTCGTAGATCTGGCCCTTGAGCATCCAGAGCTTCGCGGCGCCGGGGAAGTATTGCAGGGCTTTGAGCACGAGGTTGAGTGCGGCTTCCTGGTTTCCGAGCACGCGCTCGAACACCACGCTCTTCATCCACACGCGATCCGTGGGTGCCTGCTCTCTGGCCTGCTCCAAAAGCTCCCGCGCCTCCTCGACTTGGTTGTTTTCGGCTTCGAGCTTGACGGCGGCGAGCCAGATATCTTCGTTGTTGGGGTTCTGCTTGAAAGCGCGGCCGAGTACCTGCCTGGCGTTGTCGATCTCGCCGGCCTGCCACTTCTCCTTGGCTAGCATCATCCATAGCACTTCGCTCTTGGGACAGGCTTCCACGGCCTTTTCGAGCACATCCCACAGCGATTGTTTCGTGCCGTGATGCCGCTCGAGGTCGGCAGCCTCCATCCACAGCGTCCTACTGTTGACGAATACCCGCAGCGCATAGGAGTAGATGGCGCGCGCCGTTTCGTACATGCCACGCGCAATGCTCGACTTGGCATCCTTCATCCAGGTATCTTTCCTGTCGTCATCCTCGTCCAGACCCCAACCAAGGGTTTCGCGAATGATGTTGCCGCAGGTGATGATAGCCCCTTCCTCCTCGCACTTCTCGGCCTCGGCGATCCACTCTTCGCGCTTCGGCATTGCCGACTCCTTGGCGAGGACCTGGACGGCGCGCTTCATGACGTTGACCTTGGTTCCCTCGCCGAGCTGCTCCTGAAGACGGGCGGCAGCAATCCAAATTTCGTGGGATGTCGGGATGGCTTTCCGGGCTCTGTTTAGCACCTTCTGAGCATTCTCCGGCGTTTCGAGTCGCGCGAGTGCAAGCCACAGGTCGACGGAGAGGGGAATGAGCTCTGTTGCCTTGGCTAGGAGAATCTTGGCGTTGTCGATGTCCTCCTCGAGGTTGACGGCCTCCTTCCATAACACTTCGGAGTCCGGGAGATGGTCGAGAGCCTGGCGGATGACCCTCTTCTTCGCACTGGGGATGTTCTCGAGCTTCATCGCCTCGACCCAGAGACGCACCGACCTGCTATTATGCTTGATGGCCTCGGCGGCGATAATCTTGGCATTCTGCCCTTCGTTGAGTCGGATGTTCTCCAGCCATACGTCCTCGCTCTTGGGCCGGTTCTTGCAGCCCTCAGCGATAACTTTTCGCGCCGTCACGATCTTGCCGGCCAGCTCTTCCAGACGCGCAGCCGCGATCCACCCTAGCGGATTATTCGGATTCGTCTTGATGACAGACTGCAGAAGCTCGCGAACTCGGTTGATATCGCCGACCTGCGCCTGCGCCTCCGTGAGGGCCCGCCTATTCAAGCTCGTGATATAACCCTGGGGATCGATACTCGTCGCCGTCCCCACAGTCGACTCGACTCCGTTCCCGCCCTGCGAGGCCTGGTCCAGCCTCACCTTGAGCACCTTGTCCCTGGCCGCACCAATCTTAGCGAAGTTCGTCATCGTCCCATCCGCCGCGTCCGCGCTCGACACCGTACCATCATCCGCCACCGTCGTCGTCATCTGCGTCGAGTCGCTCGCCGCAGCGATAACGCTATCCGGCACGGCATAAAACCTCTGCCTGAGCGCCTGCTTCGCCCGTCTATTCTTCCCCGTCAGGTCCCCGACCTCGGGTAGGTTCGCCCACTCCTCGTCCGACACCGTGCCCAGCGCGCGCTTCAGGTCGGCGAACTGCGCCTGGATCTTGGGGTTCTTCCTCTCGTATTCCTCCAGCTCGGCCTTCTCGCGCGCCTCCCGCTGCGCCTTTCGCCTCTTGGCCATCTTCTCGTCTACCCACTGCCATATCTGGTCCGCCTCCTCATCGTCCTTGTCGTAGATGCCTCCCGCGAAGAGCCCCACCTCGTTATCCGGGTCTTGGTACCGCTCGCTGTCGTCGCCGCCTTCGTCGCCGCCCTTCTTGCCCTCGCCGCCGATGCCTAGCGCCGCAGCACGCTTTGCGACGATCTCTTTGATCTGGTCTTCGCTGGGTCCTTCCCGCGCCGGTCCGAGGTCCGATCGTGTCGTGAAACCGGTGGCGCCGCGACCGAGACCGGCTACGTAGTTCTCCGGCGCTGGCTGGTTGAGGAAATCTCGTCGACTCGCCATCTTTGGAGCTTGGAGGCGTGCGGCCCCACGCTAGCGGGTCGCTCGATGGGGTTTTGTCGCGTGGGAAATTGATTCAAGGTAGGAATTACGGTCCTTGGTAGTGTTACCTATCCAGGTATAAGATCACGATATTATTTTTCTATGAGAAGTTGGATTTTGCCCCGTCTCAGTGGAGTGGTGGGTTTGAATCGAGGTTAGCAAGGTTGGCAAGGCTGACATTGAATAAATATTTAGAATATCACTTTGGCGTACGAAGTACACAATTGCGTATTTCTAAACAAATTCAACGCCACCGTTTCGCAAGGAAATGACAGTTGTCAACAGCTGGCCAGTGATAAACAGGTCTACTCCATATCTCTCCTCATCCACTCAAGCGAAGCATGATGAGGGCTACGAGGAACAGTTTAATACAACCATCTTCCGGTATTCATTCCGTTCTCATTCTGATTCTCGCTTTCTCTATACCTCAAGCGATAGTTATATACGCTCCACCACCCTCGCTAGCGTCCTGGTTCCTTCATACCCTCTCGTCCACCGTCCAAATCCACCTTTCCTTCGTCCGCCTTTCTCTCTTTTCATGCCATCTGCCTCCGTTCCGTGAGACACAATGCTACGCAACGGAGTCCATCATTGTTTGCTTTTTCCTTCTCCCCCTTCACCCGGGATTAGCTTTGGGACTATTTCCCTGCTGGCGTCCAGTTTCGTTACAAGTACAGCAAGTGGTGCCACTTTTCCGTATCCATCTAATAACTGTATAGAGCAAGAGCATAAAAAACAATCACAAAAGGCAACGAAAAGAGACCAAAGGAAGACAAAAGAAAGGGACAGTATGAGATCGAAGCCGGGTTCCCAAACTTTCCCTCGAGATACATAGGCCATTTTCGTGTGTATGTCGTCAAAGGGATCCAAATCCAACGACAGGGGTGAAAAGTAACCACGATTGAGGCTTTTGGGAAGGTTTCAACTCATCCTGTACAAGGATGCTGTCGAGCTGACTAGAGTTAATGAAGAAGAACGAAGGTAATGATAGGGTGGTGGTAAGAATATAAGTAAGTGGAAATAATGAAGGGAATTAAAAGGGAAAAGGAAAAAAAAAAAAAAAAAATCGTATCTTCCGCCTGTTCTGAAACCTGCTCCAAGTTTGAAGAGAGCCATATATGAATAAAGGGGTATTGTGCGTGTAATCTTCCTTAAAAGAATAAAAATAAAGCCAATTGTATGTCCATCGAGCCGTGATGGTTTTTTTTTTTTTGGTTTTCCCTTTGGGTCGTCGACGGCGACATCTTTCTCAACCTAACGCCAGCTTAAAATAAAAAAGTGCTCCCTACCCTGGTATGCCATGCTATGCTCGCTCGATACACAGGAATGAAATTCGTTAAAAACATAGGAAATAGAAAAGGAAAAAAAGATTAAAACGAGGAAAGCGTGTTAGAAAGGAGGTCGAGACTGCGATGCGGTCCATGGGTGTTGGCCGACCCGCGTGAAAATGAAGCTATTCGGGACCGCCATCAATTGCGACGGGGTGGATATCAATCCGGGTCGAATTGGGCTTCAAAGAGGGGTCATTCGCCGAATTCGGTTTGACAGTTGTCCGACCCGAGATGGACGCGGTTCTCGTCTTCTGGCTTAGTGGAAGGTTATATTTGACAATGCCTTTGATAACGAGGTCGAACTCATCCTGGAGAATGCGACCCCAGCGCTCAGAACCCCCAGCCGTCTGGTTGCCAGGTAAATGCAATCTCATTGCGCCCGTCGAAGAAGACATGCCCTTATGGAAGAACGAGCCCTCGAAGCTTAGGGGACTATCAAACTCGGTGATCGTTCCCAAGCGCATGTTCGGTGCAGCGTCATCATCAGGCATGTCCGTCGGAGGGTCGTCGGAAATATGCACTCCTTTATCTCCCTTGCTGCCGCCACCGCGCCGTCCGCCGTCTGGTGGGCCTTGAGGATGCTTCCACCATTCCGAATCCGAACCAGCATGGATAGACTTAGCAAAGATCTCCAGATTTGCATTGTCAATTGTCACCACCACAATATTCGGGTTGTGAGCCTTAACTGTCAAATCAAACATGAGCTCGGGTTCACTAGCGATGACATTATGAATGCCAGTGAGCTCAATGTTCGTTAGCGGTTGGGACGTGGCGAACATGAAGCTGATCGCGCCAGTAACGACGAGAAGCACCATCATAGTGACAACGAGACACGCGGCAAGGCGGTTGAGGTATGATGGAGGGGAGTGGTACGATTGGGATTCGAGTTGGCGTTGAGAGATGGGTCCTCGTCTCCCTCTCGTAGACCTATACGATCGGGAAGAGGAGAAAATCAAAGGCGTTCGCTCATCATCGGGGCCAGTCGTATCGTCCAAGTCGTAGTTGTTTGATACATACGGTGGCGCTCTCTTGCCGTTTGTGCCGCTGCGGACGTAGTTCCTCGGGCTAGGTGGTGCCGATGACTGCTTGGAGGGCGTGCGCGAGAACTTTGTTCGCTGGGCAGCAGGGAACGGCGACTCGTTATCGAATAATGAAGGGTGGCCACTGCGACCCCATCGGCCGATGTGATGGTGATGGCGAGCTGTGCCTCTGCCGGAGCCGGCGCTGCTACGACCGACGCCCTTGTTATCATCTTCACCTTGAGCAAGGCTATCCGCGGTGCTGCTATTTATGGTGCTCGCAAACTTCATGTTCTTCCTGACGCTAACAGGAGGGCCGGCGCTTTCCATAACACTGTGAATAGACCTCATGGCCGCAGCACGCTCCGCCTGGCTCATCATCGAAGTCGCACTAGGCGTCCGAGAATGGAAGCGCCTCCGGTCATCTGGGGGGTTAGAGTCATAAACAAAGGTTTCCTCGGAATCGGAATCGTCCGCCTCGTCGACGGCACTGGCGACCTTAGCCTCGAATATCTCGGCCTTGGACGATGCTATTCGGGGGCTAGTTAGTAAATAGCTCATTGATAGGATGGAGGAGAAGGTTGGAGTTCGAGCAGTCACTGGACTCGGTAGACTATAGTGCATCATCTTTGTGTTTCGGCGGTTCCGCTGGGGTCTTGAAGGTGACGGGGATTTCTCCGTCATGGGGGACACTGATCCCGTTGACCTCTCTTGACGAGACCAGGGTGTACTGAGGTTTTGCAGGTAAGTAGCAGGGTTGAATAATGAAAGTAATTTCTCACCAGCACCGGCGGGCTGTTTCCTACTGCCCTTCTTCTTTTCCTTCTTCGGTTTGATAGTTTCCGCGCTCGGCCGCGTCCTCAGAGTGCCGTTACCTCCTTGTGGCCCGGCAGGGGCAAGGGCGACGTTGGGGACGGATATCACAGTTTCTGTTTCCACCGTCATGTTCTGAGTAGAACCCTCGGGCTTGGTCTTGCCGGCTTTCGTCGACATGGAGCTCGATTGCCTCGACATCATGGGGGGCGCGGTAATGCCTCCAGCTGTTCTTCGACCTTCGACTTTTACGCTACCACTCTCGCTTCCACTTTCTGCAGTATACAACAAAGGTCTTGCGCGCAGCGTCTTAGATTCTGTCGTGTAACCGCCCTCGGTCTGGGTTACAAGCTCAGAGGCGAGCTTTTCTTTTACTTGCTCCATGGCGGCGTCGGTAATGTGCTTGGGCGAGTTGGGAAGGCTCACTTCCTGTACCGTCTCGAGAGTGGAGCCGTGGGCGGGGGTTCGAAGACCCGACTGGAGTTGAATATCCTCAGTCTCGCTCTCTGACATCTGCGCCTGATCAGTAGAGGGTGGTGGCAACGTAGCAGTTGGCCCTCGCGGCAAGATTACAGAAGGCGTCTCGTTGGCGCGTATCGATTGTGCTATTGATGCTCTGTTTAGCTGTGGCGGGGGCGAGCGTAGACGAGGGGATATTGGCCATCGAGGACTGTTGCTTCGGGTCTGGTCTGATGTGGCAGGCTTCTGGGGCGTCGGGCCTCGCACATTTGGCTCCTGGGAGGCAGGAGGGAGAGCTGGTGTGTTGGCAGCGGTTAGGGTTCTAGAGTTGCCGTGGCCTTGCGGGAGGCCGGATCGAGCTACGCGGGTAGGGCTGGTATCAACGACACTGTTTTTCCGCGACCGACTGTGCGGGAAGGAAGGCTGGGTCGTGGTCGACTGGCGGTAAAGCCGGATTGGGGAAGGGTCTCTGGACCCTAGGGGAGACGGAGCGACTGAGTTGTTCGTTGATGATTGCTTGGATTGATTCATCTGCTCCGAGAGAGAGGTGGAGGATGAGACAGACACAGGTTGAGGAGAGGGTAGTTGGCTTCGGGAACCGGTAGATGAGTGGCTAGGCTCTGTCGATGTGCCGCCCGGTCTATTTGCTGATTTATCCATGATTGCGGGAGAGTCGCATGTGGTGGATCAGGAATAACAACGTTCTTCGGATGTCATGCCAATAACCGGCCGGGTACTGGAAACACGGATCAACGTACGGCAGCGGGGGAGCAGTAAATCATGTTGTTCAGATGAAAACGGACGACACGAGGCGATTTGCGATGCGCGAATAATCCTGTTGGTCGATTGGGTTACTGATTGGGCTCAGCCCAGGGACCTGGACGAAAGACGATGGCAGTCGCGTGTTGAAAGATCAGTGGTCCACGACGGTTGTGGATTCGCAGGCTTTCAATGCAGGTTCCGATGGTCGTCTGTTTTAGGAAGCGGGTAGCGTTTAAGCGGGATGCATATAAAAGTTATGGACTTGCCAAAGGAAAGAGCTCAATGAGAAAGGAAAAAAGTGACAGTCGTATAAAACCAGACCTACCGAGGCATATGGGGGGAGGGATGTGGAAAAAGGAGAGTCGACGAAGAAGGGATTCGGATTTTGTCTGGTCAGCGGGTTGTGCTTGATGTGGGATTGGGCCTGGTCTTGGTGTATGTATGACGAGCGGAGGTGATGAGATAATTGCAGGCCGTGCGATCCAAAGCCCATTCAAATTCCAGGAGAACGTTTTTTTTTTTTTTTTTTTTTCCTTTTTTTTTTTTTTTTTTTTTTTCCTTTCTTTTTTTTCCACCTTCTCCCTGCGCCCTATAGAATTTGGTTCGAAGACTGCAAGCTTCGTGCGAGGTACTTCGTACACCCGCTGAGGGAGGTGCGATCAATTTGGGACCCCAGTGCTCATGACGGTGGAAGGTGGAATCCACAGTACTCGCATTAATGGTGAAGGTAGATTTGTCGGCAGTCCTTTGTGCGAAGCATGACTGTGAAACTCCGTTCTAGCTTGGCGTGGAAAACGGTACTTTGCGGTTCCACTCTCGAAGAGCCATTCATTTGTTTGACCCGTCGCCACTACATGTGTATCAAGGTACTTCATTTTTCTACGAGATTTCAATATTACGGCAGAGTACCGAAGCATTGAGATACAAGCCCCAAGTCCCAGAGGCCCGAAGTACTTCGTAGGAAGTACATACACTCCTCCCGTATCACCAACGGTGATCAGCTGGGACCGGAATCCCCCTCGACACACGGATGATGAAGGTCACTTTCCGGTCCGGCCCAGGTGGGTGTGGAGTCTGGTCCAAAAAGAAAGGGTGAACAGGCAAGCGTGACCGAGTGTGGGCGTTTTGCAATCAACAGGGCAGACGTGGCAGGAGTGTTTTGGTCGATCAATCCCAGTCCATGTTGCAGCAATCTTCCGTTACAACAGACCGAAGGGCAGACGGGTTGCAGTCGGGTGTGTTGGACAGCAGAAACATAGTGAGGTTGAAGACCCCCTTATACTTCGTAGTGTACTTCGTACCTTTGTATTGCCATTCCTTCTGACTTGTCCTTCGTAGTGACGGTTGTTTCGTGTACATTGTGTACTTGTTGTCTTGGGGGGCTCGGCACAACTCCGTACCCCTTCACAGCCAGGTGTTCCGTAGTCTCAAGGTAATGTATAAAGTACTAGTACTATTTAGGGGAGACTAGACAAGGGAGAAAAGTGATATTTAACAGCAAACCGTTTCATTAACGATGTATCTAGTACAAGTTGCAGAGTTGGCGTAGATTAGTGTGATGAGAACATCACCCAACCAGCTCATACATGTACCTTTTCTCCACCCCTCCTTCCGGCTGTGCCTGACTTTTGGGGGGATTCTGAATGCTATGAGAGAAGAGAACACCAGGCAGGTTAATCCGTGGATGGAGGATTGCCGGTTATCCTTCACAGGAAGTAATCAACTCTCTTCCTGTTCCTCAGATTTTCCACAGCAGTTCATGCTTGCCCCAGTTGGCTTTCCTCTTTGTCCATTGTTCTGCGCCTTGTGCTTTGGAACTCCCCCATCCTTCTAACCCCCACATCCAGTCGTCTCCGCCTCTCTGCTTTTTTTTTTTTTTTTTTCAGTCTTCGCCCCAACTAACAGAAACCTCCTCGGCTCAGCGCAGCACAAGTGGCGACTAAGCCATCAATGTTGATAATGGGCTCCGCAACAGTAGAAACCAGCTCAGTAAGTAGGCGCTGCATTAGTGTGCACTTGGAGCAGTGACTTAGTACACTTTAACCTGATCTTCAACAAGACCAAAGCGAAAGCCTCAACCAACTAGGGGCCCTAAGGACTACGTTGTGAGTACATACTCTGAAGCCAGACCAGCTGCGGCTTTGAGGAGACATTGGAACAATTGAATGGTGCCTGTGCCAGGACCGGGCCAGTCTTGCCTGGCTACGCCAATTTTAATATTTCGTATGACCTCGCTGGGCTCTTCAACAAAAACTTTGCCAGCCCTGTCTGGTGCCACGATTCCACAGGCAAAGTCCTTGCTTCCGCTCAGATAACGGTAACCGGCCATTCTCTATGCATCCCCGGGGCTTACAATTGGTTGGGATGCGCCCTAGAAGTTTCTGGTACTAGTTTAGTGGTTTGGCCTTGGTCCATTATGGAGGTGGAGATTTAAACGGAAACGACCCAACACCCAATCGACACCAATCGACCGGGTCGGTCCTTTTGCACCCGCGGGTCTCCTCTAGTATGAGGAGGGTGACTGCTTTGTGTGAAGTTCCTGATCAGGTCTCACGTACCATGTACGAAGTGCCCTCCGATATGTCCATCACACGAGGTGTATAAGTACTTACTTGTAGTACATGATACTTTGTAATCAACCATCGGGATGATCGTGCAACTTCTTCACGCTCAACAGGACGGCTGCTACGGCAGATTCCAAGTCTCTGGTCCTCGGAAAAAGGGGGGAATCTGGAGGGCATTAGTGAACTTCTTGAGCGGTGTGCCCAGGGCAGTCCCTGCCCTGGTTGTGCCCTTGTGAGGACGACCCACTGAAGGCTGCTCACAATGGCCCCTGTAAAGACCTGAAATGAACGTTGAAGCCTCGTGCTCAGGTCGTAATTTGTTTGCTCCTTCTTGGAGCGGTAAAACTCAGTAATGACTTGCCAATAGTGCGACCCATCCCTCATAACATGAGCAGATGGGCTGCATCGGGCGGGATTGATATTAGCAAACCTCTCCGCCGAAGTGGTTCTGTCGTCAGAGCGATACGGAAGGGACGGGCCACTGCTGCCAAACAAGTAATTTCTCCAGACTGGCGGTCAAGACTGCAAGACTTGGATGTTGAGTCTCCTTCGTACTTCTTGGAGTACAACATTGGTCCGACCTTGAGTCCATTCGTCGCGACATTGTTCCATGACCCTTAGACACCAGCCGCATCATCATTTCTAGGCAGGTGATGATGATATTAGTCGCCCACTCAGAGAAATTGAGCGGATATTGGCCGTATTCCGGACTCTGTACATGGATGGACAGGCATCCGTTGGGCTAGTCACCACATGTCCAGACATTCAGAAGCACCTTCGGAGAACTCGTTCGAGATATTACGGTGACTAATATCCCTACAACCCTGAAGCATTACAGAATTGGAGGATTCATCTTTCAAGGTAGCATATACGCACGAGACGCCATTTATCCCACAGAAGGAAGACCATATGTTAGCCATAGCGACCCAGGGGCAGCCACGGCCTCGTTGTAGATATTGCCAAGCAAGAAAAGGCAGCGGGGTGTTGCATAGATCTGCCGATACTAAACTACCATTCTTCCAAATCTGATGGACTCGATCTAAGTTTATATCGTCGTGCGTCGGGCCGTTGACCATCTCTGTCTCCACCTCTCTAGAGGCACTTCTCGGCCTCCTCTCAGGCTCTTGGCTCGGGCTCGGGTTCCATGCTCGGCGATTAGACATGATGGGAGGGAGGGATGGATATTTCCAAATGGCCGTAAATACGAGCGATGAAGAAAAGCTGCGCACAGCAATGATGGCATGAGCACCGATGTAATTCCAGCATCGCGTTCAGGGCTTCCGTTTCCTGAGAGACCGAAATCTTGTCACATGCTGCAAGCGCCGTCAGGACCTCTGGACCTGAACTATCTTCCCACAAGTCAACAGCTCTCGATCGGTAGGTTTCTAGGCACCCGTCATGCCGCTTTGGGCCGATTCTGCGCACCTCACTCGGACTCGAAAGACACAGACTTCGGCGGTGGTCCCGATATTTACGGTGCGAGTCATGGAGAGACTTCGGGCCATAACACCAGAGTCGAAGCTTTAGTTCTTCGTAGAGCATCCATCTTCATTCGTAGATAAAGTCTGTTATTGACAAGTTCGTCTTGCCCAGTTCTATTTCCAGTTTAGTATTTCGATACTTGAGCCAAACATGGACTGCTCCGTTCACCCATTTGTTCAAAACTCTAGGTCGGCATGTTGGCTGTACCGGTTCGCCAACCAAGGTCACGACTTTGAATCAAGATTGGGAATACCTAGTTGGATGGGCTACTTTGGTACGCCCAACCTGGTCGTCTATCAACTGCTTTCCGCATTCTATTTCCTCTTCTTGCTCTCCACCATGGGTATCTTCGTGCCGGTATGTGACCTCTTTCGTCCAAGCACCCGCCGCAATTGGCTTCGACGCAACGTAAAGCAGCTTGCCGAGTTGGGGGCCGTGTATTGGCTCACGATGGTTATTATGAGTACCTAGCCCTCCTGGTTGGACAGGAGCAATTCGAGGTAATAGGTAATGAGCAGCAAGCTAACAGCCACATTAGTTACGACACCTCTTCCTCTGGGGTAACGCCGCGTGATGCAGGCCGTCAGGCCTTGAAATGAGTGGTATTCTGTACGCATCTTAGCTCCTTCCTATGCTCCAATTGGCGCACTAAACTACTTCTACTTCATACGAGGACTCGCTCTTACGAGCCCGGCCGTGCTGAGTGTCCAGTCCGAATGTATTAGTATTATATCCAGGGCCGCCGGAACACCTGCAAAAAGGCCCTCTCCTTATAGAGTAAGGCGCGAGCTGCACCCCAGCAAATCCAACGTCTCCGCCAGGAACAAAAAAAGGCAGAACGAACGCCGCACTCAATTGGCAGACCTTTCAACGACACTGGCACTGAGGCATTTTAACCACCCTCGTTTTATTATGTGGCAGACGCTGATAGGATTTTTAAATAACCGAAGGCGACGCCCCTGGTGAGAGAACGGTAAACCCAAGGGGAAAGAAATGGATGAAAAAAAAAAAAAAAAAAGGGCCAGGCGCTCCGGCCGCGCAAACCTCGTCCATTCTTCGCTTACGAGGACTGATCAGTGGACGCACTATTATCAGACCATCGTTCTTATCAAATGATCTCATTGCTCATAGAAACCACTAGGAAACGAGAGTGGACGAGGCTCATTGTAGACCAGCCCAGCCCCTCTTGTCTGTTTAGGCAGACGATGGAAAGTTGTGCCTTTCCCCTCTCCATCTCTCCCACCTATTGATGTGTCTCGACCGACGGAAGTTTACGAGCATTGCTCTTAGTGAGACCTTGACCCAATCCCATGCGATACCCTCAACCTCGCCCCGGCCCCGGTCCAAGCCAGTTGTCCGACGACGGTACTCGTAACTCGGACGGTGCCTAGCATGATGGTCTATTACGATCCTCAAGAATATAAGGAGAACGGCTGGCCCAGGACGGAAGGGGGCGGAGCTGCTCCCGAGTGTTCTACGTGCCACAGGGAACTCCAATCCGTAGAAGGTAATACTAAGTTGTGAACGGAGCGGAATACGCGGTCATCACCTCTCTCATTGCATCGCGGTCAGCCCACGCTGACAAGGCCTACATGACGGGTGAGGTATATTAAACTGGTCGCCCATGATAGGGATTCTAGATGCATCTGCAGGTAGCCAAGGAGGGGGAGCTATGTAAATCCCGCTGTGTGGTGCCGTCACGGACTCTCTTGTTCTCCTCTCACCGGTTACCAATAGATGGTGTTCTTGGAAGATGTACCTCAGTACGAAGTTGAGTCACCCTCAATAGAGCGGCATTGTACGACGCAACGGTACATCGAGGAGAAGCAATATTCACTTCCCGGTGGACCTGGGCCAAGAATGCCAATCCCACACGATACAGCGGCAGGGCGTGTCTCGTCCATCCGTCCGCCGCTGACGGATAGATCCGCAGATGCCGGAGCTGGGAAACATGGAGAGGAGAGTTGCGTGATAATACAGAGTGGTGCACTTACGAAGTACGAGGCTTTGTGCCCCGTCAAGTCTCTACTTCAGCCTATGAGCATACCCACGGGGAGCAGCTTAAATTGACTCCGTTCCCTCTCACGCAGAATCAAGGAGAGGGGAATAAAATTGTGCGGAAAGACACATAAACATGCGACAGTAAAAAGGGTAATCATCTTTCCTAGTATATCTATAGATGAGAAAAGAGAAAAAGGTATCCGTCTGTAAAGAAAGAGAATAAAAACGGTAAACACGAGCAAGAAAAAAGAAGAGCGAGAAACAAACGTTGAAATCGTACATGTTTACAGGTTCCCGTTCAGTTACACACATCGTGAGCCGCCCCATTCTTCCCACCGGTCCAACAGAAATCATTGAACATAAACATGCTCCCCAACTCACTCCTCATTAGCGCAGTGACTATCCAGTTTCAATGTTGTAAGAATTTTCCAAAATAGGTTTGTTTTTCGTGACAGAATACCATCGTCATCGTTTCCCATGTCCCTTCGTCGCTCACAGTCGCGGAAATCCCATATGCACGTAAAAGAGGACGTGGAACTGGTGCGGTCGCATCCAGCAGAGAAAAAGAGTCCGGGAGGTATCCCGACAGGACTCGAGCAGTGGAGACAACAAGAAAGGAGAAAATAAACGGGGCATTATCGTAATCCAATAAACACCGTATGTGCTGAGAATATATTAGGGAAGAATGGGAGAGAAGAAGAGAAAAACAAGAAGGTGGGGCAGGGGCAGAAAGTAGAAGATTGATAGACTTCGTCGACGTCATTCCCGAGACAAAAGAAAGTCATGGCATGAAAATCCCTCTACTCAGTAATAGCGCCGGCGGTTGGAGCTACCTCCTCCTTCTTGCCCGTCCAGCCCGAAGCCCAACCTATCCAACTCGCCCTCTTGTTCGCGTCGGGCTTCGCTGACTCGGGGTGTTCTTGCAGGAGCCGCAGGGGCCGAGGCTTGTTGCCTCCGAACGTGGCCTTATCGCCATGGCCGGGTCGGGGCGGAGACTGCGAGGGAGGTGTGGTGATGTCCCCAGAATCGCCACTGATGCTTGATGACTCGCTCCTCATACCAGGGAAGTTGCCAGACGACGGTGCGTGCTGCCCGCTCGGAGATCGGGCGCCTGCATTGCTTATCCCACCCGGAGAGAAGAAAGTCTGCGACCGACGGGGCTCGCTGAAGGTAGGCGATGCGGGGCCGTCCGAACCACGATACCTCTGACCGAGCATGCTGCCGCCGGCTCCAGTATACTGCTCGCTCATGGGCCTAGAACGACGAACGCTGCTGGACCGGGTCAAGTTGCCGATCGGGATCTTAGGTGCTGTCTCGGGATTGTTGTGAATCGAGTTCTGTGTAGTGGACGTGGGCATGACCGACATTGGGCGAGGCTTGGGCTTGGGGCCGGCTCCCACGGTGAACTTGGCCCGCTGGAAGAGCGACGCGCCAGCCCATTGCTGGTCCTTTTCGGCCGGGGGCGGCGGGGGAAGCTCCTTTTGTGTATTGGCCTTGTCCATGCTCATGGACTGATCGAGGATTGCCTCAAACTCAGGGTGCTGAAGGACCTTTCCGAGGGTCTTGTCGATGTAGAGGATCAGAGCCTTGTTCTCTTCCTTTAGAGACTTGAGCTCAGCCTCAAGCCGGCGGTAGTTATCGCTCTCACTTTCCGCAGCGACGGAGAGCTCGTCAGCTAGTGTAGTACCGCTGCTGCGTCCCTCGAGAGCGTTCAAGGCGTCCTGGTTAGCGGCAGCGCCACCCATGGAGGCAAGGCTATTCTTAAATTCCCCATTCAGGGTCCTTTCCTGCAGGAGCAGCTGGTAGCTTTCATTGTCTTCCATCAGTCGAGCATTCGCCATACGGGCCTCCATCAGCAGCCTCTCAACCTCCTGCAGACGACCGCCACCCTGGTTCTCGGACTCAACGAGCTTGATCTGAGCCTCAGCAAGCTCGAGGCGAAGAGATTCTATAAGCTTATCCTTCTGGAGGAGGAGCTTGGAGTTATTCCGAGAGTCACTTCGGTTGAGGGAAGAAGGTGGCGCGAAGCTACCGCCATCGACAGAGGGCGAGTTGTTCGCTGTTTGGCCAGAGAACAGTTAGAATGAGGGCATTCCTGGTTGGGGGACTAGATAATGAAATGAAGGGATGCTTACCCTGTCTAGACGGACGAACATCATCGTCATCGTTGCTGTTGTACTTTTGCGCAGCAAGGCTCTCTTTTAGTCTCTGGATGACGGTTTGCATTTCCTCTTCCCTATTGGCCATGTCTTCCTTCTCCTTCATCATGGCGCTGCGTTCGGCCTCGTAAATTGTCTCCATTTCTCGGATTTTCCTCGCAGCATCGCGCTTCTCGTTCGTGAGCGACTCAATCTGTTCCTCGGCTTCATGCAGACGCTCCTCCAGCTTCGCCTGCTCTTTAACGGTATCATCGTGGCGCGACTGCAGGACTTCGATCTGTTTCCTGTAATTCTCGGCGGCGCCCTCGGCCTTGGCTAACCGATCCTTTAGGTCTTCTATGGCAGCTGCGGCTTCCTCACGGGCTTGCTTCTGGGTCTCTGTCGTGCCGTTGCTCAGGAGCGACTCGCGCCTCGCTGCGGCAGAACGGGCGGACACGGGAGCGGAGGACCGAACAGAACGCGTCCTGTTAACGGAGCTAGGTGTATTTGAAGTCGGGGTGGAGGATCGAGGGGTCTGTCGTGACGGTGAGTTATGGGGTGAGGTCGAATCTGCGGCTGAGACCCGACCAACGCCAGGGGTAGCTGGCTTCCTCGAGGGCGTGGACATGTTGGGCGTTGCAAGTCCTGATTATCCCGCAGGCTTGCGCACGTAGCTCGTCGATCTAAATCGTCGCGGAGAGGGAGGTGCAAAGAGAAATAACAGTTCCAGTGGATAGGGGTACTCGAAAATGAGCGGATCAATGCAAGGTAGGAGAAAACGTAGTTGTCGGGCGGTAAAGCCTAGCAAGGTGGAGGCCAGGGTAGGGATTCTGCACCAGTGACAGGTTCTGTGTTGTGGAAATCTAGGGTCCAAAAATAACGAAGGGAGCTGAGTGGATTGAATAAAGCAAGTAGAATAATGAAGAAGGACCCGTCAAACATGCAGATTAAGTTGGGGAGAAAAAAAAAAAAAACAGAAAAAAAAATAAAAAGGAGTCGGTTTCGATGTTAAGGGATATTGTGTTACCTCGAAAGGCCTGGTGTCAGAGAAATCAGGTTGAAGCCACAGCCCCGTTCTAGCGTCGAGACACAATGGTGGATCAAAGTCATCAGCCACGCATGCAGTAGGTTTCAATGTTCTGTCCAGGCACTGGCTCACGGTCGTGTTCAATGTTCCAGGTTCCTGTTGTGTCCTGTCTGACTCCAGTCCAAGGTCGCGTTCTCGGCCTAACGTTGCATGCGACCGACCAGAATCCTACACTAAAATTAGAAGGGGGCTTGGGTGCTTGTAGCGCCTGGCGACTCCGATGTACTTGGGCTGTGAAAACTGGAAGCCTGGCGTTTCGGGGCTGAAGGATGGGAGATCGAATGCTGGTGGTCGACGAGGCGATTATAATAAGATATTCAAGAGTAGAAAGTCACTAGAGATGTCTGTGAATGGCCAAGATCCGGTGGATGTGTCGAGGCTTATCACTACTCCTGTCTCTTTTCCGTCGTCCACAATCATGCACGCGTTTCAAGTCTCATGAGAGATTCGCCAATTCAGAGAAGGAACAAAGAAACACAAAGAAACAAGAAGGACACATGCGAAAGACACCAAGTCGGGAAGCAACCTCGCGTCACCGTAACCACACTACATGTTCGCGACTACCAAGTAATTTACGCGCAGAGATCAGCAACATACTTGGAAGGCGGACTTGATATATCCGGGTCCGTCGGTCCCAGTTTCGTTCCTGCACTTCCCGATAAACAGAAGTTTGATTTGGTGGCCTGCCGAGCCAAAGTGTTTTGAGCTGCAATTACTCTTGCCGATCGTGTAGGGAGCGAATGGGCAGTCTACCGGAAGATCACAACTCATGCACTCAGATGGCTAAACACGCAGGGCTCTTTCCACTGATCTCTACTTCGTAAGAAGGAGGACAAGGGAGACAGGGTGACTGCCCATCATTTGCAACTCACATCATGGGGCTCAATATGTTCCCTGATATATTGTGTGGACGGGGTGCTGGCAGGAGATTCGCTATCTCGGTTCTGCACAGAAGAAGAATCGGAGTGGGCAACTTTAATTTGCAGTGTGGGCACTGTTAAATTCGGGGAGATGAAGCCAGTTTTCCATGCCGTTGTCCCAATCCAGACTTCTTTTCTTTTGAAGACAAGCCACTTTTGGTAGTTAGAGTGTGGATTGGACTGATGCTACTTCGTACTGCCACAAGTCATTGAAACAATGCCCCCAGAACTCCGCCAGGGCAACTCATTGTGAGACATCAACAATACACTTGATATTTGTTCCATCTAATTCATTAGATGGCTCGAGCAAAGCTGTTTTTCAGTCGGTGAAAGGCACGTGTCCTGTTACTGTCGGTCCTGTTCCTGTTCCTGCCCACTGGATGACATCTGGGTTGTCCTTACTCTCATTGATTTGCCTCGGGTTGCGACGGCGACATGAACATCTCAAATTACCTCAATAATCTGGTTCATGCATCTGATCTACGCTCTTCTCGTGCACGTCAATTGAGACGGTACATCCACAGAGCCATCTGGCTAGAATTTGACCGTGATTCAAGTGTCACGGTTGAGGAAATCCTTGACCACGTGCACCTCGCTCTTATCGACGATTTATTAGCTGGTGAGCCTGGAGACGCAAGTTTCGAGTCTGAACGAGGTCATCGACAACCATGGTTCAAGCGATTAACGGAAAGAGCCCGCCGATAGTCTTTACTTGACAATTACTGCAAATATTTAAACCGGCTAAGATGCCACTCTTAGAGTTGCATAACCTGCTAAAAGTCTCCCATTACGCGGCCTTCGCTCGTCATGACCGACTTACTGTGGCTTTCAAATTGAGTCCGATTGTCTCTCGTCCTCGGCTTGCTCCTTACTAAGGCGCAGAGGAAAAGAATTGTGATGAAATCCATGGGAAGAACTCAATGGAATCTTAAGTAGCAATAGCTGCGGAGGGAAATCTTCGCAATAGAATCTCGTATTACACTGATGATTCACCATGATCCTGGCGGTCGTTGACTGTAAAGAAAGACGACCTGAAGTGGAGAGGGCTTCTTGAAACATCAATTATTCAGCACCCAACGTAACTGCAGTTCTGACGAGACAATTGGACCGATTGACAGCCCGCGGTGGCAAAAGGGAGATGAATAATGAGTGAACTTCGAAGGGTAGAGAAAGACGTCGGATTTGTAATGCCTGGTTTGGAGGAACGTGGGCCGATGTGCCCAGTGAATGGAGTGATGAGAATGACGAACTCCTCAATACGCCCAATCTAGGAAACAGAGTCTGTCCTCTCCAGCAGGGACTGCTAGTTTGTCACGGGTAGTTAGGCTGTTACAGAGTACTCCGGCGCCATCGCTCACATGGTATCAAGGAAATCAAGTTGGCCGTTTTCACGGTTTTGCCAGTTTATTGATGTATCGACTTTTTGCCGGGGCTAACCTTTTGCCCATAATGACATGCGCCATGTAATCATACGCCGACCTAACCGTGTTTCATCCTCTCATCCTCATTCCCTTCCCGTTCTACTGTCACATCTAAGCCTCGAAAGCGTCGGGGAACTCCTTCATGTTGTGCGCAAGGGAGCCGCGGTTGGTGAGGAACTTGACGTAGGCACCGTCGACCTTGACGTGACCAGCATCCCTCTTGACGAGGTACTCCTCACGGCGGAGAGGGGTGAAGCCCCAGTTCTTGGAGATAATGATCTTTTGCCTGCCGGGGAACTTGTACTGCGAGCGACGGAGGGCCTCGAGGGCGATAGCACGGTCTATGAAGATCGTTAGTTAGTGATCCGTATTCAATAGATTTCGCCTCTCGCGCTAGGCGAGAGACAGGGGAAGGAAGCCATACTAGAGTCACGAGTGCGGACGCTCATGAGAATCTGACCGATGTTGACACGGGCAACAGTGCCGTTGGGCTTGCCGTAGGCACCACGCATACCGGTTTGCAGCCTATCGGCGCCGGCGCACGACAACATCTTGTTGATACGGACGACGTGGAAAGGGTGGGCACGGACACGAAGGTGGAAACCTTCCTTACCGGCGTTCTTGACAAGGTACCTGGAAAGAAATAGTTAGAGAGTATTCGCGAAGACCCGATAGATAACCTTTTGCGCGAAGTTGGGAAGTCGCTTGTCGCCATCGTCATCGGAAAACGGGGGAGCCACTCACTTGTTGGCACAGATACGGGCGGCTTCGAGAGCCTCGGAGCTCAGCTGTTCGTACTCATTGGAAACGAGGTGAACACAGAGGGGGAAGTCGTCGACACCGGCACGCTTTCGGCCAAGATCGAAGATCCTGATCTTGGGGTCGGGGACACCACGGTTGAAGCGGGACTTGGGATACGGCTGGAAGAGAAAACAGGGTTAGCATCGACTATAATAATCGACGCGAAACAAATATCACGAGTGTCCGGCCAGCGGAGTCAAAGCCTTTGGGATGGCATGCAAACACTTTGCGGTCGCCCAAAAAGCCCCCAGAAAAAAAAATAAAGAGCCTCCCCATCACTCCGAGATCCAGTTCTGCCCACATACCTTGTTCTTGCAGTATCGGTAGCAGCGGGCGGGTCGTCGAGCCATTTTTGCGGTTGTCTGTTGATTTCTTCGGGTTTGATGTGGTTTGATTGAAGATTCGAGGTGGATGGCCGACGGGGGAAAAGAAGCCTCAAGATGATCCGACGAGACACTGTCAAGCGGCGAAGAACTGGATTGATTTCAAAGCAACTTTTCCCTTGGCGGGGGTACGTTGGTAATTCCAGTTTAGGGCCACCGTGGTTAGGGCTTTTCGACGAAATTTAGATTTGATTGGCCCGTCTCCCGGAAAAAGTTCGGTCAACTGAGGACAGTTTCCACCCACATTGCTGGTCCTGGAATTTCCTGTGACGGCCTTCAAAATCATCGAAGGCCTGTAATCGACTTTGAAACTTTTTTTTCCTTCTATCGTGCCAACCAATCTTCACGACAACATCACCAGTCACCCAGAGTCACCGGTTCCTTTCAGTCACAATGGCCCCTCAGAAGAAGTCTAAGAAGGACGCTCACAGGTATGATATCGATTGAAACAGACCTCGTTACAGGCTGCCCCTCGAATGGCCTGCTTGGTTGGAATTAGAGATACTGACTTCTTGAATAGCATCAGCTCCAAGCTGGCGCTCGTCATCAAGTCCGGCAAGGTCACACTCGGCTACGTAAGTTTCTTCTGCGCTGTTGCATCTCATCTCGGCGGGAAGATGGCTAACGTTGGATGCAGAAAACCACCCTCAAGAGCCTCCGAAGCGGCAAGGCCAAGCTTGTCATCATCGCCCAGAACGCTCCCCCTCTGCGAAAGTCTCTTCTCGAGTACTATGCCATGGTACGTCCCCAGCCCTATCTGATCGGCAAGCGAAAGGCGAACAGTGTATTAACGGTTGAATCAATAGTTGGCCAAGGCTCCCGTCCACCACCTTTCCGGAACCAACGTAAGTCATTCCCCTACCTGAATTACCTTGCGACATCTTGCTTCGGTCCCCGCTCGCCAGTGGCATCCCCATGGATCGTCCCAGTGCGATGTAGTACCCCGAGAAGAAGTCAATTCAAAGACTTTGGAGGGTAAATCCACGTACTTACACGCCTGTCCCCTTGCAGATTGATCTCGGAAACGCCTGTGGTAAGACTTTCAGGACGTCTACCATGGCCATCCTTGATGCCGGTGACTCGGATATCCTCAGCGACCAGCAGTCTTAGAGAAAAAACAAATGACCTAAGCAAAAACAAACAAAAAAACGGGCAATGGCACTTGTTTAGTGGCACTTGATATGAAAAAAGTACCTGGCGTTGGGGATTCCCGGTTGGCATTGGAGGCGTCATTCGAATACCATCAAATGTAATGAAAGATTACGATAGAATTCTACTGAGCTATCCGAAGCCATGGTTTCCCAGAACCATCCAAGTGTCGATTTTGAATTGATGTGTGTGGATCCGTCCCACCTAGCGGCATGGTTTGCAGTTCTCTGTTCTTACACCACCTTCCTGTTCAGCAATGGATTAAACAACACTTCCTGATGTGCCCCTTGGATTCCAACCACCATCAAAAAGTCTGATTTTCGAAATCCTCGAGATCGGAGCCTCCACCATGTGTTTTCCGCCAACAAAATCCTCAAGCAGCCAGAAAATGCCCATCGATGATAAGGGAAGTGGGGGAGGATCGCTCAAATCGAGCCAGGCCGAACGATATGTTTCCATAATTTTTCCATTTTTACATGATATTTATGGAGCGCTGTACGATACGATGGATTACATCAGTCTGTACGTAACTAGACTCCGAATCGCGGAGGATCTAGAGCGGACCGATATCCAGAGGATCAGAGCCTAGCCGCCACCGGTTGTAGCGGGATCTTTAGGAACTCGGTCTCGCTCTCATGGTCGAGGATGCGCACACATGTGAAATGCGATTGGGCATGTGCCTGCGTGCTATGCACTGTCTTCTGGTTCCTTTGCCTTGGTAGGGTATTGGTCAGACAGAACTTAGCAGACAGGTTCAATTGACAGTTGGATAGCGCGGGTATGGCGTCATTTGATGTCAAAACCCATTCCAGGTTGCCAGAGCACGAAGTAGCGATCAGAAATCCTGCTGTTGTGCTAGCTCGTGCCAGTCAAGCTCTTATGAATGGCCGCCTGGCGCCATCAGTGCTTGCTGACCGCATCTCTCTGGAGGGGCAAATTGAATTTTCAGTTTATTATTCGATTCCTCATGAATATTCGAACCATCGTTGGGTTGGTAACATGCGTTTCAAGGGGAGCACCTAATGATGAACACCCCCAAACGACCAAATTAGATTGCGGGACACGTCGCGAGAAGCAGACCAGGGTGGGTGGCACCTGACCAGACTACTGCTGGCGGTGGATCAGATACATGACGAGTGACCTTGACAGCAGCATCCGGTTCAGCCCGTCACCAATGAGTCGCTCCTGGAGACGTGCGCTCTCCCTGTCTGGCACATTTGCACGCGAGTCCCCCCTCCAAAGACATCCCTCGCCAAGAAATCTTGACCATCTCCTTCCCGTATCCCACAGGCGGTCAACATCCCAACTTGATGATTTCATCAGATCTGGCTCCTTGTCACACTGCCCCTATTCGTCCCTGTGCGCTTGTGCTGTTGACCCCTCCTGCACGAAGACACTTGACCTTCCCACCCGCACGACGAACCGCAGCAGCAATACCATTACGCTCAGTTTGAGGTGCGGAGGCTGGGACATTCCTCTGTTCCTGGCTGTCTCGAGTTCCTTGTTTCTCCCCATCTTCCAGCGCCTCGTACTATCCAGCTCACGACCAGGCCCACACGGGCGATGAGATCTGAGCTTCTATTTTCGAATTTTTGACAACACCCACTTTCGGGCCTTAATTATCTTTCGAGCTGTTGTGGTCCTTCACATCTTATCATCTTAGCCTTAATCGTTTCGGGTCCCTTCCGATGAGCAGGGGTCTTATCGGGAGTCACCTAGCCATAATCGCCCCGAAGATCGCCAAGGCGTCGTCAATACTACCAAGTTACGAAGTACAACATAATAACCTCCTAACAACCCATCTCCAACCGCGTCCCTTTTTTGATCTCCAGGCCACGTCTTTAAGTATTTTCCCCCCTTACAAGGACCACTAGACACCTTCTTGTTGTTTTTATTCCAATATGGCGTTCCATCAACAAACCCGCCAGTCAGTCCCCCGTCCGGCCCAGTCAACCTCTCGAGATGGCGACCAGCTCCACACGTCACTGGCTCCACAGGTGCAGCAGCCCCCAGACGAGTCGCAGACCTGGGTGCTTTTTGCACCAGCGGACAATGCCACAGCGTCATCATATCTCGGGGAAAGCGAGCGGTCGTTAGAGACACCACGAGCAAGCGATTTAGGCGATTTAGATTCGAACCTGAGGCTCGATGGCGATCTAGACTCCCACACGCGATCCGTCGGATTCCCTGCCGCGTTTGAAGACGACGTGGCCGAAGACGACGCCGAACTGGATAGCTTGGATAGCCATCTTCCCGATTTTCGAGCGACACATAATCCTTATGCCGAGACCCCAGCCGCCCCGACTTCTCAGAATATGCCTGTTCTTCCATGTCACGATGGGCTGGGTTCCTTTAGGGTTGAGCAACCCGCGGGAGCTCCGGATATGCAAGAACAGTTGTATGCTTTCGAGAAATTCAACCCCCATAGAATTAATCAGAGAGACGACGTACCCGATTTTCCGGAGTTAATGACCGACCCTGATAGGGCCCATAAGATGCAGAGGATCGAGTCCTGGCGGCTGGAACAAAGTCGCTTGCTACTCGAGCATATACAAAAGGAGACAAGGTCTCGCAGCCTGTCGCAGTCAACGATAGCCACAAGAACCCACCAATCTGTCCGTTCTAGCGAGACCGAAAATGCCCAGGACGGGTCAGACAAGACGGTATCTGGCGTTGTCCAGGGCGAACACGACAACGTGGACTGGCATCAAGGCAGTACCCCTGAGCCCGAGGTCCAATCCGAGGGAATATTATCCCGCGTTGCCAAGAGCTTGATCAAGGAGCTAATAGGCATCGATGACCGTTTATTATCCATTCTTTTCGGGGAGTCGAGGCCTGACGACGGAGAAGACCTCGAGGTCTCGGCTATGAGGCCTTCCGAAGAGCGATCATGGCAACTCCGCATGCTCGAGACCATAGCGAAGGAATTAGGCCTTCTGATAAACCGCTTATCCCATCATCCTGGCGCTTTTTCAAGCTATGTTCGCACGCAGCGAATGCCACTCCCATACGCAGGCCTACCGGTTATCCCAGAGATGCCCGCTACGGGTGCTGCCCAAGTTCAGCAACAAGGGGATCAAGATGACCTGTCTGCTGCCATTCCAGAATTCCAACCCACTGTCCCGAGGCAAAGCCCTGCGACCGACGCGCAGAGCACGAACCAGCAAACTGGGAAGCACGATGCCTCAGCTTCGAACCAACATCCCGACGCTTTCACTCAGCAGGAGTGGGAGCAAGATCTTGACATCCGACTTGCTTTCAGATATCTCCGCTCCAGATTTGGTTCCAGATCGTCTCCGGCGCCAACTACGACAGGCACGTCACATTTGGCGACCTCGAGCACCCAGGATATCGCGGCCAAAATCGCGAGGGTACGGCAGCATCATCCGCTTATAGCTCCGCGGCCGCGCACAGCCGAGAGGCGATCATTCAAGGTGACCGCACCTAGTAGTCCTGTCATACTGAGGCACGCATCCAGCTGCGCGAGTCAGAGCACGAGGCGGTCTGGGCGGAGGAGTAGTGTGTCCTCGCGGCACTATTGGGACATCGGTGGTTCTTTGGGAACGGGTCCCGGGTCAGTAATTGCCTCAAACGGACCGATGGGGAGTTGGGGTGAGGTCTAGATGACCTATTTTTACTCTTTCTTTGTACCTTGTCCTTTTTTTTTTTTTTTCTTTCTCCTTTTCGTTTTCTTCTTATCTTGTTTTGATCTTGATACATGACCACATTACCAGTGGTTCGGAAATAGCTGGACATACATGTACTAGATGGCGGTTCGCCGGCCTGGGTGCTTGGAGCATATAGTCTCATTTGGGCTGGGCTACACATACTGGTTGAGCTTCTATGAGGTTCGGGAATTTGGGATTTAGATGCACATGTAATGTGGAGATGTATACGAAGTAGAGGTTGATAGAAAGATGTAGGCGTCGAGTTAAAAACACACCCCCTCTTCTCTTTCCCATGCTCAAGGGCGTGTTAATACGGTTGGCTAATACCTGCATGCCTCGTCTGGTCTACGTACGCCCTTGCGAAAGGACGTGAATTGAGCGTCGTTAAAAAGTGCAGAGTAGCACAGGTGATGTAGTTGCCGGAGCTGCACGCGATGTCAGACTCGGCCCAGGCGGTAGAAGTCTACGTCTACTCAAGATGGACTAAGTGATCATGTCACGGCGTGCGGTTTCTTGGGACCATTGCATTCGATGTGTCACAGAGGCCAGTTAAGCTGCAGGTAAAGCTATTTACTCTCGAGAAATTGCCAACTGCGAATTAACGGCACCTTTGCCCGGGGGCTACTAAGACTACACCATACTTGTAATAGTTCCTCGAGAGGCAGTGATACGACATTAAGAATTTCCTTAAGGAGGAAGAGGTAGACGAGTTCGGGAGATGCAGGTTGACTTCCGATAGAGGCACGTACTTGCTGACGAAGCCGGCACGCTGGACCAAACTGCAAGTGTACGAAGTACGATTTTGATATGTCATGTAATACTGTTTGACCGCAATGGTAGGATCGTGACAAAAGGTATTGTTTCGGACAGAAGATGGGCAGACATCTTATTAGCTGCGGCAGATTTGGCACTGCATGGGTGACTCTATCAATGACTCTTACTTTTTAACATCTTACGGGCGGTGGGAAGGAGGGTGGTGTGGACGGGCGGAAGGGCGTCTCATGGTATGGTGTGGAAGGATGTGGAAGAGATTGAAGAGATTGAGAACCATCGAAATGGGTTGCCTTGTTCCTAGCATCAAAGTTCGCATGCAGGCAAGAGGGAGATCAATATCTCTGACTGCAGGATGGATATGCCGCAGAGAATCTGGACCTTTAATCGGTCCTAGCCTCATTCTTCCGAGGTGGGATACACTCATACATGATGGTGGGCCAGAAAACACGAGGGTGAACATGGAGCATCAAATCTGCTGCTGCACTTGGCTCCTCCTGCTGCCCGACATGGAACAGAAATTCCTAAATCTACCCTGGATGTATGCCTAGGCAGGTGCCTAGTGCAAGTGCTACGTGAGAAGGGGGAAAATTGTAAGAAAACATGATAAAAAACGAAAACAAAGCTAATGCGTGTCGAAATCAGGCGAGAAGAGGTTGGTGAAGTCACTCCGGGAGAAGCTTCTCCAGAGCTCCCTGAGCTTTTGTGAAGAGCTTAGGCTGGTCCAGGCGGTGATTCGGCGTTTTGCCATGGTGGAAGTGGTGCGCCAACTCGGTGCGGTACTTACGCTGGTCTCAGACGGGCGAGCTCCCAAGGCAGGGGTGGGAAAACAAACTGGGCCAATTAAAGCCTGTCGCCTTGGGATTTTGGTGGCAATGGACAGGGGGGATTAGTGGACTTGGCGAGGGTGACCAGAGCCTGGCGCGTCCCCCCCGTGCTGGTGCACACAGTAGCCGCACCGTTAGGAACAACAATACCAGCGCAGCGGGAGCATTTTAGCACTGTTGGGAGCTGTAGTCGGCACTGTAAGAGATGTTCCAGGCTCGAAACCACCCAAAGTGGGCTCCACGCGTTAAGTGGTTTTTCGACCGCGGAGTGATAATAAGGGCGTGTTTAGTGCTCCCCCACCATCAATTGCTTGACGTTATTAGTCCGAATTTGTCGAGCTCGAAGTTGTCCGCGAACCTACAAACCTGGAGGCACCTCAAAGGAGGCATCAGGGTCTTTAACTGCTCCGATTTCTGGTCCGAGCCTAGAAATCGCGTGAATCCCCTCGGGACATGTAACTCGCCGAGCCCTGGTCTCTTGCTCAAATGAGATCCTCCAGCTTTTCATAAAGGGGCTTCTTGCTCAGGTGCCCTGGATGCCTACTCCGGCAACCACCCTTGCGAGAGCAGAGTCTAGGCAGAGTTGAATAGCCATTCTGTGAACGAAGGCGTCTGGACCTCGATCTCGGGGCATTTAGTATATAGATACTCGTTCACCCCCCTTGTCTTGCCTTCCGGCATAACGGGCGTCCCACCCATCCACGCATGCGGGCTGGAGGTGATAAACATAGATCACCACTTCAAATTTTAGGCGTGTTCCCACTTCCCACCTTTGACTTCCCAGATTGGACTTTCACGATCCACACTCCCATCACCCTGTACTATCGACACCCCTCACCCCTCCCCGGTTCCTTCCTTCCTTCCCCATCCACATTAGCTTGTACGTCCTCGCCCGTCAAGTTCCCTCCTTCCTCCCAATCCCGCGCCTCGCCCTTCGACTGGTCGAGGAACAACTCCTTCCCCAAACTATTCTCAACCTCCTCATACCGAATTTTTTTTACTCCTCCTCGCTTGTCGTCAGCCTGTCAATTCGCTCACCAGGCAGCCTCCTCTTTCTACGCCGACTATAAAATCTCGCTTCACACCCCGCGCTTTATACTGCGCTCTTTCCTTCCTCGTCTCCCGCCTTAGTGGGTAACCCCGCCGGCTTCTTCGAATGCCATCAATGGGTCATGGAGCCCGATCTGACACAGGCAGATCCGTCTACTAACCACGCCCAACAGATAAACCATGATGTACTAGGTGTGCCTACTTTCGACCGAGCCGCCCGAGCCTGGGCCCTTTCCAGTGTTCCGGGCCCTCTCTCCGGCGACCTTAATACGAATACGCGACCACCCCTCCTGCTCTACCCGTCCGTCTTGCCTCTTAATACGCTCGAATCGGGCCCAGCTTGCGCTGCTTCTCTACTGACCGCGCCGGTCCCAAGATATGATCCCACTCTGTTCCCCATGGCCACGACACCCTTCGAGCCTACCTTGCCAGGCGATCCATTCTTCGACATCTATACCGATGACAACTTTAACAATCATGCGGTCGCCTCGATGGCAACTCCTACTCCCATCCCGACCTTACCAGCAGGACAATGCAACTTCATACACATAACTCCTGGTTCCAATGGAGTCCGGTGTGGCTGCCGCCGCTTCTGGAGTCGTACGCCAGTCCCCAGGACCGTAGAAGAGGCTCTTTCTGAGGACCAGTACCACTGCATGTGTAGGCACCATGCATGTTTTCATGACGATGTCGCGGTGATTTCCCCGGCAGTTCCCTCTGCGCAAGGGCCCGTAGCTGCCCCTCCGGAAAACCACGATGTTAGCAAAGCGGGGAGAGAAGCCTTGAGTCCTCTCCAAGATATTTCCTTCCGTTTTACTCCGGGATTAGCTTTCCCCTCCGAATTTCCTGGTGTTGATGCCCCGGCGCGATCTCCTGCCGCTGCCGGCCATGATCCCGGACGCCCTGGCTTAGGTCTTTCTCTACAGGCCAGCCCCGCTCCCGAGGGGTCCATCCCCGATACGTTATGCTGGGTCGATAATCGTCCATCGCCCGGCGTGAGGAATACTACTACGCTTCCTCCAATTCCATCCCAATGTTTGATGACTTCACGGCCAAGCTCGGTTGCGGATTCTAGCCAGTCCCGCTACTTGCGTCCCTTTGCAGGAAGGGGCCTGCAGACACTTAGTAGTGCCCGCAACCCAAGAGCCCGCCTGCCCTTACAGGAAAAGCCCGCTGTCTCTGGAGCTGTGCAGCAGCCCAAGCCAGGGGAATACGTTAACAATGAAGCGCTCTCCGCTCTGATGGCCGGTCGTGAGAGGCCGCAGTCCGCCCTTGGACAGAACCCCTCACAGGACCTAGGAGATACTCAACCCTTCAGCTCTTCTTACACCAGCCCGTCTCGGGAGGTCCTTAGAAATCTCTCTGATGCTATTGACGGTCACGAACAGCGCCTTGATCGCCTAGAGAATGTCTCATTCTCTGCCGTAGGCCATGAGGAATGTTCCGAGAAGCATGACCAGATCGACTTGCGTGTCACTGAATTAGAATCACGCGTTGAAGAGGTGGAGAGGGCCATGAACGACAGCGCTAGTGTCTCCAACGCCCGCATCACCCGACCCGACGTATCCACGTGTAGCGTTGACTCCGACTCGACCAGCGCGACTGCACGTGCCCTTTACCACAGTGAGCTTCTCAGTCAAGTCCAGTCACTCCAAGCTCAGGTGTCAAGGATCCAAGCGTCGCTACCTTCCTTTGAACATCCGTGGGAAGTTGAGGTTGTCTTTCTGCCGTTTCCGCTACGAAAAATTTGGCAGGAAGTTGATGAATTCAAGACAGACCCCAAGCTTGCCATCACCGATGAGTGGACACAGCTTCCAAATACATACAGCGCCCCCACCAGCCGCGCTCGCTCACCCTATGGTGGCGAATGGGCCGAGAACCGTGATTTTGAATGGCTTCTACCGAAAGCCTGTGGGCCGAATGGTCTTGTTGACCGGCGGCTTCGCAGCCGTGGCCTTATCCGGACGATCTCGGTCAAAGGCCCGGACGCTAGGAGCGTACAAGTCGCGATGAATGCTGTCTTCGGCAGCCTATTCCGCGACTTGAGCGGAGACCAGTCTTTCAAGAGAGCCCAGAAGCAGTCCATGTCTTCTCGCATAGGCCAATTCCGGGGGCTTAACCACGAATGGGTACCACTACGGAAGATCCACAAAGACTCGCGACTCCGTTTCTTGTCACCGTCCGAGATGGTGAGCTCGTCGTTG